CAACCATTGTCACCAAGTAACTCCAAGGAACAGTAGATACTTTAAGAGTTTTGTATCTGCAAAAATTAATGATTGAAAGCTACAATCTGCACCTGCATTTCATGGAAGTTGCTTATATTTGTATAACTTATAGGATGCTGAAGCAGTGTCAAGATTATCACATTGTAGTTCATAAGCATAATGAACTAACTCAGATCACTAATGAATGTATCAGTCTTTTAGCATAGTCTCTCTATCATATAATAAGTTAACAATAATGGATGTTATTAATCATTGAAAAGTATACATTTCTATCCAGTAAAATTAAATTGTTTGATTTTAGAACTTTTTGTCCATTTCTGTCATGAATTGTTTGTAAATGATTTAAACATTATAACCTAAATGTTACACGTAAATGAAAGGAATAATATTTAAAGGTGTCATATTTTTTAATATTTACACTGTTCTTAGGATCTATTTATTTTTATTACAATTTAACATATATATCTAAAATAAATCATTGGGTTTATTATATGTGTGACTTGGACATACAAATAATATATAATATAATGTATATTTGGTGATAAAAGAATTCTGGAAGGGAAGAGAAGGAAAAGGCAGGCAGGCAGGCAGGAAGGAAGGAAGGAAAATGGATTGTTTAGTGTGTTACAGTTTATCTTAAATAATGTAAACGTAAATGTATTCCTTCTCTTTCCCATTCTCTTCTCCTTCTCCTTTTCCTCTCTTTTAAATCTCAAAGAAAACTCATGCATTTTATAATTTTGCATTTCTGTTCAAAGTAAAAGTTATTATTCCACATTTGTAAAGTCTAAAAAATATTTATCCAGTGAACTGCCTTGGCTGGGAGTGGAATTTTGTGTGAAAACATCAGTATATGTGAGTGTATAACCATTGTGTATTTGTATTTATACCCATTTTTTAAAGTAAATTTGCTTAGAGAATATAAATGTGAGAGAAAGCATAATATTATTTTGCTGCTGGTTCATTTTTTGAAATGTTTAGAATGATAAGGCTGTTATGGAAAGGTTTAAAAGGTTTTTTTCTAGTTAAATAACAGAATAACATAGTTGGAAGTGACCATAAATGTAGTTACTGCAATCCATAGTAGCCGGTTCAATTGCAAAATCTTTCTCTTTAATAACAGATTAACAAACAGGAACAGATAACATTCCAGTGTGTCTAAAATTCCTTTATAATCACATAGAATAAAGAGTATTTTCATAAATGGCTCTGGAAGGATCTCTGAAATTTAGGATAACGTTGGCAAATGTATATACAAAGTTAAGCCTACTTTCTTAAAAGAAGGGTCTGTTTTTTTCAATTAAATGATTATTATTACTTATACATCAAATTTATATGGCCATCCATCTTGCAAAAAGTGACTACGTATGACATACAACGATTACTTAACGTGCTAAATATATAACAACAGTTATTCATTAAAATGTAAAAATAAAAAAGCAAGGTGTAAGAGAGAATTCATTAGATTTCATGGGACATAATGATTATGATTTCAATTCGAATTTTAGTATTATGTGAACATGGCAAACTGTATACTGTATTCTTCTTTTCTTTATATTGGTAGGATAGGATAGTTTTCTTGTCTATCCCCATATTCATACTTGTGTGTATAAATTTTTATCTGGCAAATATCAACCAGAATAATTATACTACTCTAATCTATAGAAGCGTTGAAACATTTTCTCATGAAATTTAGCAGTTACACTGAAGTTACAGCTCACTTTGCCAGACGGATTATATTATTCCATATTTATTTGTTTTTGAGAGGAACATTCAAGGAGAAATTCCCTTAATGGTTTAGAACTCAGTACTAAAAATGATAGATGCATATAGCACTTTTTCAGAGTTATAATTCAGAAAGATAAGGCATACAATGTCCAACATTGGACTGTCACAGAAGTTGTTCCAGAGTATGAAAGTTACCTGTTAGAAGCTTCATACTGAATGCTCCCAATATCCACTTGTCAGCTTTGATAACCAGAGAAAGCTTAGTAGTAGCAGTAGCCTACTTTCAAGTATGGAAGTTCTGCAGTCCCGCACAACCAGTAAAGGAGAAAGGGCCACTTCACTAAATGGAAATTATTGCGGATCCCAAAGCACCAGTCAGCTGTCTCATTACTAGTAGAGAGATAGTGTAGTGGAGCTGGTGATAGCAATGAGGTTTGGAGGCTTCCAGCAGCATGACTTTTGCAGTAGCTGTGGCAAATCTGTTGCTTTTTTAAAAATGCCAGCAGGTCACACAACTCTGCTTAGTAGGCCTCAGTTAGTGCTTAGTGGCCATGGCTTGTATGTTGTGCAAGCCTGGAGTACACCCTTCTGCCCAAAAGGACATCCTCATATAATCATGCACTCCTTCGTCTATTTGTCCTGTGATTTTATTCCTTATGTCAGTTGAGTGGGTTGGACAGCCATGGCTCCTTCATGATTTGATTGAATGAAGAGTGAAGGATCTGATTCATTCTACTCTACCGTGATGATAGGCCTGGCCACCCAGTGTGATATCTATTTGTGTCTCGTCCTGTTTCCATTCTTCATCTAATAATTGCTGGTATGTGATAGTCATGACACCTTCATGCTTACTGCAACATATGCTCGTGCAATTATTGTTGAATATGAACAACTGTTTGAAATCATCCAGTTTGGGCCATTGCTCTTCCTTGCACTGTGCAAAAAAGTTCCTTGCTTTTTTATCTAAAATTAATTAGCTAAGTAACCATCAAAACATAATGTTTTGGTTTTAATTACAGTTAATATGGTTATTACTTTCTTCCAGTTTTCAACTTGTGACACATATATGGAAATATTCTTAAATTTGCATGTGGCTTTAGATCCGCAGGTTGCAGTTTGTGCCTACAGGGAGATTGAACGCATAGCCTCCTGGTTTCTAGCCTGGTGCCTTAAAAACAACAGTAACTGGCTTCATTTTTGGTATTATCACAACCTTTTTTCAGATGGGATGACTTGATTTATATCTGCTTCCTTAATTTTGATAACAGTTTTGTTTAATACACTGTAACTGATTTGTTTGTTTATTAAATTTGCCCCCCCCCCCATCTCACCTTGGGAAAACTCTGGCAGCTTACAACATTAAAATTTGCATTTCCAAGTGTATTTGTGGGATGTACTTTGGCTTTCAAGATGCTTCACTTCAGCCCCCCCATCCCTAATTTTGCTACTGCGAGTGCACCTGCCCTCTTCCTCTCTCTTTCTTTCCTTCCCATTTTTTCCTCTCTTGATATCTCTTTTGCTGTCTTGTGGTCACTGCAAAAGACAGCTGGCTCATCTAATACCGTGTTTCAGTGGTGGATTTCAAATTTTTTTACTACCGGTTCTGTGTGTGGCTTGGTGGGTGTGGCAGGGGAGAGATATTGTAAAATCTCCATTCCCTCCCCAATCCAGGGGAAGGTTACTGCAAAATCCCCATTTCCTCTCAATCAGCGGGGATTTGGGAGGCAGAGAATAGATGGGGGGTGGGCCCAGTCAGAATTTTTATTACTGGCTCTCTGAACTACTCAAAATTTCCACTACTGGTTCTCCAGAACTGGTCAGAACATGCTGAAACCCATCGCTGCCATGTTTCCCCGAAAATAAGACCCTGTCTTATATTTTTTTGAACCCTGAAATAAGCCCTTGGCTTTATTGCCATGCGCTCAAAAGCCCAATTGGGCTTATTATCAGGGGATGTCTTATTTTGGGGGAAACAGCGTAGTATGCTTTCCTTAGTGTTGTAATTGCCTTTTTGGAAAAAGAATCCCTCCTTGGATAAATAACTGTACATAAAATGCATGTAAAATAAATTCAGTTTCTTTTTTATCAGAGTCTTGCTACTTTTCAAAGTGCAGCCTCTTGCATGCTTCCTAAATCCTAATGCAATTCTTAGCCCGTAGGTAAATACTCAATCAGAGTGCTGGAATTTCTAATATTTTAAATTATGTGATGCATTTGCAACTCTGGAAAGTATGCCTAAACATGTGTATGTTAGGAGCAAATGTAGAAAGAAATGCATACTATATGTTAAGAAAGAAATATCCAATACTACACTATAAAGGAGGTTTGTTTAGGAAAAATATGTATTTTAGGACAGGATGCATAAATACGTATATATTGGGATAAACATCCTTGAAGAGTTTGCTATAATGGTTCTGTTACCGTTGTGTCTTCCATAACCAGGCAGGGATAATACTCAGCTCTAAGAAAAGTGAAACATAAAAATTCTACATTGATATTTAGGGAATGAAATCTTACATTTTCTTCCTGACAATTCAGAATCTTTTCTGTTAAAACCGCTATCGCCACAGAGAAGTGCTGAGAGTGCAGTAGAGTGGTGAATTTCATAGTCCAAAGTTAAATATCTGTTACTCTTTATTGACAGCTCAGTAGACTTACTCGTTTTAAAACAATTGCTCAGAGAAACATGATTCCCCAAAGAAAAATGGTAATGCCTTTGCAGCTATAGCAGCTTTCTATTATTCAGCATTGCACGCATTTTGCTTTCGGACACATTTATAAGTGCAAGAACCTCATGAGCTTGAACTAGAATCCATGGTGAGGATTTGAAATAGGACTTCATATTTGTATCCTTGTGCCTGTATTTTTCTTATAAGTGACATTGAAATATATATAGAATATTTGACTGTTGGTTTACCATCAAAAATATTCTAGACTCATGTTTTTCTGATTAATTAGAATTACTTACTTACTTAATTTTTGTCATTCTGATACCATCCCTTGCTAGTTGAGACCGATTTGAACAGTGCTGCCTTTTGTGGTTTATATTTTAATTTGTGTTTCTGTTCTGGTTTATGAACAATAATAAGGCCTTGCTTGAATATTCACTGCCTTTTAAATGTTGAACTAAGGAAGATGCTTTCTCTTACTTTAATGATAGCAGCACGGCATGGGATTGATCAGTAGTGACATTTGATTGGAGAGATCCAGCACATTTGCCTGTTGTTTATTGAAGTATTTTCTTCAAACAGCTCCCTCGCAAGTTAGTGGTGTAATGAAAGAAAAAGTGCTGCAAAGGAGTGTGGAGCTTTCCTGGCAGGAACCTGAGCATCCCAATGGAGTCATCACAGAATATGAAATCAAGTATTATGAGAAAGTAAGCATTACTTTGAATGTGGGCCATTCTTCTGTTCGTGTCATTGCAATAACTTTCTGTAGCGGACTAACATTTTGCATAGCCAGCCTGCAGCCTTAATTTTGGTTGCCATTCTGTATTACTGAAGATAATCTTACCCATTTGATTCTATCTTCTCTAATGCACAAGGAGAAGGTAGTAAAATTAAGCCACCATTTTAATGAACAAAAGCTTCGATTGATGAATTATCGAGGGCAACCTTAGTTGATAATGCCACAAAGCAATTAGTTAGGATGCACTACAGGTAGTCCTCAAGTTACAAAGGCAACTGGAACCGATATTTCCATCGCTAAACAATGCAGTCATAAAGTGTGATGTCACATGGCCACATTGCTTAGCAATGGTAATCTGTACAGTCTCTGGTGCAGTTGTTAAACAAACATTGTAGGTTTGTACATAAACGTCTCCTCACAACGTCTTGCTGGCTTCCAACAACTCATTGGAGAAGTCAGAAAGAAGTTATAAGTTCTAGGTGGCTTTGCAAACAAGCTGACAAGCAGATAAGTGACTGCTGGTGAGTGGGAGGCCATGCACAGGTAGACAGGGAAGTGCAGCAGGGTTTGGATGGATGGTTGTTGCTGACAACGAAGTTGCAAAAAGGATGGGGAGATGCAGCGCAATTGTAACAGGATTTAGAGTCATTGCTGCCAGGTCAGAGAGTGTGCCTAAGTGACTGGGGAGGTTCAGTGCAAGCACAGTGAGGCTTGAGAAGGGTATGAGAGTGGCATGGGAACTGTAGTGCCAACACAGTGAGGCTCAAGGAGGGCATACAAGGATGTGTGAGTGCCTAGAATAGCTTGTCACAAGCAGCAAAGCTCAGGGAAAATGTACAAATGGCAGTGTAATCCCAGTGAGGCTCAGCAAAGGGGTGTAGGAAGTTGGGTGGCAGGAATAGAGGGGCTGGGGACAGTGCGCAGGGAGGGGGAGACTTACTTGAGTAACTTGCAAATTTCCCTTTTCCCATTGACTTTGACTTGTGGGAAGCGAGCAAGGAAAGTCAGAAATCTAAAGCAGGTGATCACAGGAAGTTCAACCATTGGAAGGGCAAGCTTGTTGCCAAGCACCCAGATTGTGACCGCAGAAATGCTGGGACAGATGGAACTTTGAGGTCTGGTCATAAACACAAGTTGTTTAGTGCTGTTGTAATTTCAACCAATCACTGAACAGTGGTTGTTAACTGAGGACTACCTGTTTGTACTCTTTACTGTAATTGGGAATGAAGAAAATATTTTGAAATGCATTTACTACTAAAAATTATTAATAAATTATTACAGCATTTAAAATGCACATGTTCTGATATAGTAACATACAAATTATTATAATATTAATTGGTTAAAATTAGGATAATTGACACTCCAAAATACTTAATTATTAAGCATATTTATAACCTTCTGACTTTAGAGCACTGGATTGCTTTATAAAAGTCTTCAGGGTGGAATTATTATAATTTCAGATAATTAACCTGGAAAGAAATCATTGGAAATATAATACCAGAAGAAAGATATCTGCAAGAAAAATTGCAGGAATTGTTCTTTATATATATAGATGGTCCTTGTCTTACAACTGGAATTGAGCCCAGAATTATAGTCCTAAATTGTACCGATCATTAAGGAGGTCACCAAATAACCGACCTGATTTTATGACATTTTTTACAGTAGTCATTAAGTAAAACACATGGCAAATCCATGATTGTTAAGCAAACCCATTCTCTGCAATGGGTGGTGGAGTTTTTTGCCAGAGACCTGATGTAAAAGCGTTTGCTAGCAAAAAAAAAAATCTTAAATTGCAGTCACATGACTGCAGGATGCTCAAACGTCTGTAAATTCAAATCAGTTGACAAGTACCCCAAATGCAATCACATGGCCATGTCAGAACTTGAATGGTTGCTAAGCGACCAATCACAAGTAATAGACTGCCTACACTTATTTTCTCCATCCTTGGATATCTGTTTAAATCTTGGTAGATTTACCATGGAAAATTGTATTTGATAATATTAGCTAACTTCTTACATTTAGCTAATTCCTTACAATTTATTAATTTAATAATAAAATATTGTCACAATCTCACAAATCTGGGCATTATGAAGGAAACATAAAACTGTAGTCTTTACAGTATATCAATAACAATTTTAAAACAAAATAAATAGTTAACTGGACATCTTCCTACTCTTATTGGGCCTCAGAAGTGTTGAAGTCCCATTTGCAAAGGAGTATAATTAATTCAAAAGCTTCTTGAAATTCAGAGCGGAAGGATCCAAATATATAGTGTAAAGCTTTAGGGTGTAATTTAAGTATTGTATTACTTTACATTTTATGTATATAGATACCCAATACAGTTCCAATGTAGTTTTGTAGCCAATCCTTGCAGTTACAACCTTTCCAGGTCTGTAAAGCAAAGGAAAAATGAAGTAAGATCATAAGCATATTTGTAATTTTACTTAGCAACTGCTTCATTTAATTACTATTTTCCCCTTTCTTTGTTTCTATCTCATTCCATTTCTCATTTTATAAATAATTTGGAGAGAGTAAAATTCATTTTTTTTTCTTTAACTTTCAATTCTGAAACACTGCATGATGGCTACTGTGTGTAACATTCTCCGTGAATCAGGCAATTATGGCTTTCAGTGGCATCTTATTAAACAGGAATAACATTGGATGAGATTCAATCCTAAGGATAAAAGTAGTCCACATTTTTTGTGATGAAGAATGTGAAGAGAATTTGCTTATAACTTAAAACTGGATTGGATGACTAATATAAGCAGTTCCACCAATTAGATAATCCTGACCTATGTAATTCTAAGGTTATGAAACTAACATGGCCTGTGATAGAGAATGTGAAAATCAGCTTAACACAAATGTTTCTTAAAACAACAGAGTGAGCCCCACTAATAGCATACCTATTAGATGACTTTACTATAACACTAAAAGGATTGACTGAGATAACACTGTTGGAACACCCTGTCCCAACAGAATCTGACTTGAAATAGATACCAAACCATTTAGCCCACAGGAGCACCTCAGTTTTGGGTAGAGAGCCAGAAGATACAAAGTAGGTTTGAGAAGGGGGGGAGGAATATATTGTAACACTGCTTATAAGTGCCATATAGCTTTAAAGCCCCAAATTCTTAAAAGCAAATTAGGATTGATCATGACCTTTTATCCAAATACAGTTTATATGTTGGTAACAGCTTCCTGTTTAGAGTCTATTTTCACATAACTCATATAATACTGTATTTGACTTCTAGAACTCCTGATTCTGTGTCCTCTTGACCAAGGCATCTATCTTACTTTCTAGGCTGGGTGAATATGAATTAACACACTACTTAGCATTTTGTGTGAACTCAGCCACAGAATATAATATGCTAAAATGAGAGTTATTGTGCTTTAGATGAATTTCTGTCTTTTAATATTAAATAATAAAAATGAACCAATAAAAATTTTTGTAACTATTTGTAGTTTAATATTTTTTGTAAAAGTAAATTACTAGTTGATATTTAAATAGAAAATACTGTTTTAATTTGACCATCATGAAATGTTCACGCATTTTCTTCAGATAATTTTATACTACAGAACTGTAACATTTCTTTTTGATGTACAGTAGATTCCCTCAGAACTGTACTATAGTACTACACTCTATACTACAGAACTGTAACAAAAATGTTGGTGTAGATGCCCCCAATGTATATAAAATCCTACATTTTAACTTGATTGATAATTTAAACTAAAGATAATTGCACATATAGTATATCATTAAGACCTACCTTTCTTAGATTTAGTGCAGACATGAAATGCAACTGGTTCGCTCAGGTTTGGATGAATCGGTAGTGATAAAAACTACTGGTTCAGGTGAACCGGTAGTAAAAAAAAGCTACCGGTTCAATTGAACCGGTATTTCCGACGATCAGCTGTGCCGCGTGGTTTAGCTTTGCTAGAAAGCAGGAAATCCTGCTTTCTAGTGAAGCTAAATCACGTGGCACAGCTGATCCCACTCTCTGTTCTACTTACCTTCCCAAGCCTCCTTTTGGTGTGCACTGCGCATGCGCACACTGCGCACACATGCACGGCCAGCGAACCAGTAGCAAACCGGTTCAGATTTCACCACTGGTTTAGTGTGATATACATAAACGAACTATCATAGATTTACTATCAATGACTGATTTACTGCCAATTTTTATTTTAAAAAATATGATCTAACTTTAATAATTTAGTAAATTATTACTAAAAATTAATTTAATAATATAGGTACAAATTCACTGAAAAAAAACTTCTGTGGAATCCATTGTGTATAAGCCTTGCATAAGGTTGTTATCCTGTAAGAAAATTTTACTTATCCCCATCCTCATGTATTGTATGGGAAATAATAAGAATGCATCTACCACCAAAAAACATTTTTAATAGAAAAAAAACAGATAGAGATACATTTAAATGCACATAGACCTTTCTGGGTCATTGTCTGTCCTATTAAAAATAAAATGAACATGCTTTTGCTTCAGTTAATGTTAAGCTCTTGCTATCAGAGGTGTTCTTCCACCCATAAATGAAGTCAGGTAGAATGAGCTTTGTAGAGTCTGCAGAGCTGAAATAAATAATTGTTATGATTTTTCTAGGTAGCTGAAAAAGAACATCTTATTTCCTAAGAGTAGGGAGGAACGTGCTGATTCCTGAACTGATACTTCACAATATTTGAAACTGATTGATGAACAAGCGAAAGTCCGCAGTCAAACAGGCAATGATTTTCTCTCTTCACTTTTATGAACAGCACCATGTGCTTCTCATTTACATTTTGTGTTATTTTAAAATCTCCTCAGTGAAATGACATTGTGTTATGCCGCAGCAGAGTCTCTGCTAAATTCTTATGCAGGAGGAGAAAAAAAAAATCTCTTCTAATAAATTGAAATAGGGTGCCAGGAGCCAGCTGTCAATTATTGATACAAAGCAAAATGAAAATCTGAAAGTTAAATACCACTCAATTGTGTATTTATGTTTGCAGGACCAAAGGGAGAGAACTTATTCAACAGTGAAAACCAGAGCCACTTCTGCTTCGGTTAATAATCTGAAACCAGGAACTGTATATGTTTTCCAGATTCGTGCTTTTACTGCTGCTGGCTATGGAAATTATAGCCCTAGATTAGATGTTGCTACACTAGAAGAAGCCACAGGTAACACTTACTTACACTTTTTGGCAATTAATATCACCAAGGAAACCCAAAACGTATAGCAAATTGGTGGAATGGAAACATTTCTGCCTTTCTCAATTATAGTCTCATTTCTCACTTCTCAATTAAGGTCTCAAGATTTCCTCTAATTTACCTTGAGGTTTACAAGCAAGACTTAAGTCAGTGCAATTATCTGTCTTAGGAAAAAAAATATATCTTAGGGCTGTTGCTTTTTGCTATGAATTCTTCAATAGAAATTTAAGGGTTTAAAAAAAATCATAAAGCAACACACAACACAAAATGATTCAGTGTCTTGAGGCTTTTTATTTTAACATTCCAAATGAATGGATGGTATTTTTTGTTCACATTCAGATCACATGATTAATTCTTCTTGAATCCTTCTGATATCAATAATAGTTTCTCGGTAGAATCTTTATTGCTGGCTCTTAGCATAACATCTTTTCCATCGACACTGGATATATTTAGAAATTATTCTCAGATCTTATTTATATAACTCCATTGTGTCCCATTTTCCAAAGGGAATAAAAACCGAACAGAATAGCAATATTTTTCTGTGTTTTTGGTTTTTAAGCTGCTCTTCTGAGGATTATGAAAGGCCTACACACTTTCTATCTTCAGTACTTCTCTTTAAATATTTATATTTCAAAAATACCATTTAATTTATTTAATTCACTGTGGATGCTAGCAAGAATGGAAGTAGGGAATAGCAAAAGTTATCACTTGTAGATAACTATATATATAGACATTATATACACGAGTAATTGCAAACATCTGCTACACATTATTCTTTAACTATTGTGCAATATTCACGACAAAAACAAGATACTTATCTATATACCACCCAGAACTAAGCCTGTTTTGGGACTTTACACTGAGTCTAGATATAAAGTCCACTGAACAAGATGACTTCTGAGACCTGATAAAAATCTTACATATTAGTGCATTCTATTCCAAATTCACTTACAGCCGCAGTTACTATAGCCTTGTTCTTATTACAAATAGTCCTCCATTTACCACCACAATTGAGCCCAAAATTTCTGTTGCTAAACAAGGCAGTCATTAAGTGAGTTTTGTTCCCCTTTTACAATCTTTCTTGCCACAGTTGTTAAGTGAATCACTGCAGTTGTTAAGTTAGTTAACACGTTGTTAAGAGAATCTGCCTTCCCCATTGTCTTTGCTTGTCAGAAGGTCTCAAAAAGTGATCACATGACCCCAGGACACTGCAACCGTCACAATTACATGCCAGTTGCCCAATGTCTGAATTTTGATCACATGATCATGGGGACACTGCAACAGTCATAAGTGTGTAAAATCGGATCATAAGCTATCTTTTTCAGTGCCATTGTAACCTCAGTCACTAAACGAATGGTTGTTAGTTGAAGACAACCTATACTTTGATATAGGCCTCATGTTCCTCTCCCTCTTTAATCTCTTTCCCCTCTCCCCATGCCTGTCTTATCCTGCCCCCTTACTCTTGGAAGAGTTTGGACTTACTTTGGTTTTGCAATGAAGCATTCATTTGAAAGTGGGAAAATGTATTTGACAGCCATTTCCAGCATGTGAGAAACAGTAGTCTTCCCAGGTTAAAAAATTGAGAGTAGAGGCTATGGGGAGGAGAATTTATGAAATGAGGCAAAGATTTACAGCAAATCTATTGGGGACTGTATATGAGAGGAAGATATTTGAATATCAAAGATTATTCACCTGAGTATCTGAACTTCTGGAGATGGTGTATCTGCTGTGAGGAGGACAGGAAGAAATATGCTAAGAAACAAAGGACTTCATTCTTTCTTGATAGAAAAAAAAAAGACAGCAAGCAGAAAATTCCTTCCAAAAAAACAAAATGCATGGCCAAAAGTTTTAACTAAAAAGAAGGTGAAAAAAATTAGTCCTTTTGTTACTTTATTCCATTATCATTCCCACATGCCTTAACCTTTGAGAGGGCCTGGTTTTTCCATTATTGGGGGATTTCTGTTTCTCACCTGACAGCTGCTCTTCCAGCAACTTTCCAAAATCCATTTTTCCCCTAAGAGTTGGAGCTGCAGAACAAAAGAACATTCATATCCATTCATTCTCTAGAGACCTTTTAGGAAGTCCCATGTAGCAGGACTGTGTAGAGATCCACTGAAAAATAAACCTAATGATGCAACTGAAACTTTGTTTTACACACAGCAATTTTGTTTTAACTATTACAAGAAAAAGTAACAAAATGTTTTCAATATCTGTTACTGCATGCTAAATTGAGGGGAACACAACAGTTGTGGGAATAGATAGAGAAAGAATGCACACACCAAGCTTGAAGGAACCAGAATATCTTTAATTTTATTTTTATTGAATGGTGCTTAATTTTGGGTTTCCAGGAACTGTGGAACCCAGACCTATGACTAAGGTTTCGAACCAGGTGGTACCACTATTTCTAAAAGGCAACATAGATTGGCATGTTTAGTCTATAAGCTTCTGCAGATTTACTTTTTTAAATTATATTCCAGAATTGCTATATTTTTCAACCAAAACTTGCAGATTTATTTAAGCAATTGTGTTGGCTGGCAGAAATGCAACAGATCCCATTTCCTGACATAAAGCTAAAGTAATGAGAATGTTGAATGTTTGTGCCTGTCAGGCAAAGTACTGTACCTTTCTCTGATGGAAGAAGCAGCACTTGTTTCTTTCTCACAAATACTGAATACGCATTCTATGCAATAGATTTTTTAAAAAATGAAAGTTCTAAGAACTGACGAGATGGATGGATGGATGGATGGATGGATGGATGGATAGATAGATAATTCTTAATTTTAATTTTCATCCTTGCCTGTTTCTTTCTCTAATACAGCCACTGCTGTTTCCAGTGAACAGAATCCTGTAATCATAATAGCTGTGGTAGCTGTGGCAGGCACAATCATCCTGGTCTTCATGGTTTTTGGCTTCATCATTGGGCGAAGGTATTACTTTAAAATATTAAGATGCTTAAAATAGACAGGAATTGGAAAAAAACTCAAATGCACATTAATCATTGGTAAACAGCTGGTTTATGTAGATACACCTGTACAGATTGCCAGTGGGTAAGCAGCTTTCTGGGGACTGAAAGGAACAAAAAGTTTAGATCATGATGTCATTTTGCCAGAAGTATCTGATTCAATTCATATCCATATGACTAGTTTTATTTATAAATGTGTTACCAAAATGTATGTCGATATATGTATTTAAAACAATTTTGGCTATCTTAAAAGACAAATTCCAGGAAGAGTCACTACTTTTTCTAACCGCGTATGACAAAGGACCTAAAACACTACATATAATATTCTGCACTCCATTTTAATGAATCCCATCATTTGTCACTTACGAGAGTTCTTTGAGCAAAAACAGTAATATACTGCAGGATATCAATCATTCATTGGTGATCACTGAATACTTATCGATTCATAAACTATCAGCTGTAACAGTACACATACTTTAAAGTAAGCATGTAAAAAAACCTAGAAATATATTTCCTATTACGTTCGTATTATTATTTCTAACACATTAAAGTGTGACACAGTTTTAATTAAAAAATTGTTTTCTTCCCCTAGACACTGTGGATATAGCAAAGCTGACCAAGAAGGAGATGAAGAACTTTACTTTCATTGTAAGTGCTTTGCTGTTATTTCATCCAGGAGATTCCAGGCCAATTACAGTAGATTGGTCCTGGCACTAATAGAACAGTGACAGTGTTAAAAGAACATTTTTGCTGAGAGCAAACATTTTAAATTTGTGTAAACCACAAATGTAAAGTTTTAAAAAAGTACTTGTTCCAAGGTAACATCATAAGTTTTATTACTGGGTTTTGATATACAGGTAGTCTCTCTTAGCAACCGTAATTGGAATCTGCATTTCCATCGCTAAGCACCCCAATTGCTAAGCAAAAAATCATATGACTGCCAAGGGCTTTATGATCTCAGTTCCCCCTTTAATTGTCAAGTAAAACATCATGCTTGTTAAGCAACATATGTGACTACTACTTACAATTTTACTTTGCCTTCCTTTATTTACTCTGCTTATTGCAAGCCAGTTGCAAAGCACACAAATGGTGATCATGTGTAACTGCAGGACACTGCGATGGTCATGAATTCATACCAGTTGCAAAACGCCTGAATGGCAATCAGTGACTGTGGGATGTTGTGATTTTCATAAATGCAAGGATTGATCACAAAGCTGCTTTTTTTTTTCCACCATTGTAACTACGACCGTTTGCTAATCAAGGCAGTCAGTAAGCGAGAACTATCTATATGCTTCTTTCCAGTTCACAAACTTTGGATGAACATGCAATAGTTTCTTAATCATTCTTCTGGAGCAAAGATGATTGATGTAATTAATAATTGTTGGCCCAGCAAATTTTTTGATTATGACATTTATATATTTCGTCAGTTGTACCCAAATTGAAAAACTAATAATGATGAACATATATGATGGAAATAATAATAATAATGTTTCTTTCGAATTTAGTTTTCAGTAAAAAGCCAGCATGAAATGCGAAAGTGTTTTATGTTGAAAATAGCCCAATCAAGTTTTAACTTATCCGTGAACTGTATCAACTAACTTTAGTACATATAGATATGAATTGAATATTTGAATTGTTTAAAGACAATATTAGTAATTGTCGATGTGAATGTAATCTTGTGTACTAATAATATGTGTATTATATTTATTTCATTAATTCTGTAATCCTCAACATTTCCATAGGAATAATGACTATCTGAATATGTATCCATCAGATTACAAAGTTTTCTAAATTTTGTCAATTTGCTACCCAGAAGCGAAGCAAATATTTGATAGTATCAAATTAAATTAATATTTATTTAAATTTGGAGTTCGATTTTCATTGTATCAATATTTCTGCTGTGTTTTATATTTTGTACTCTATTTTATTGTGAGCGGCAGCAAATGCTTATATAAGCAGAAAGACGGAGTAGAAATATATAGGACAAAATTGTATTTTAGGACAAATCGCTTACCAAATATGGATTCTAAGAAAGTACATAGAAAATATGCATACCAAGAGAAATATGTATAATAGTTCATTCAGTAGTTTATGAAAATATTTTTCTACATATGAAGTGATGCAGAAGAATACAGTTGGAAAAATAAGTATCTGAGCAAAAGTGGAAATTACAGATTCACTCATCACACTTAGGAGATCAACAAGAGAACAGCTGTGAATGCAGATATGTGCAGGATGATAATTATTTAAATCAATGGAATTTTTTAGTTAAAATCCTGGAATTTCAGAATAAGGTGAAATAATATTAAATATATCCAAGAGCTGTGGTCCAAATTATATGTTCACTCTGCCAAGCCACCTGGATTTAGTTACTCCCCCCCACTAAATTTAATAATTATTGACAATGTTAATCACACTTTAATAGAAATATCTGGTATTCATGTCCATACAATGAATAAAAATTCCTCCTCAGCCTACTGTCCTTATCTTGCAGTTTCATGATTTGATGCAGACTTGCCCATTTCTCATTTGATGAATGTATAGTGAAGATATCTATTTACATTGTCTGCTCCCTTATTTTGAAAATCTGTTGAACAATCAAAAGATGAATGGAAAATATACCTATATTAAAGAAAGCTACTGAAATGTGTAAAAAGACACCGTTCAGTATCCTTGTAGACACAGGATTAATTTAAAAGTGCCAACCACAGAAATTTTACTCTAGCAATTCCTTGGTGCTCAGCACTGGATAGAGTGTGCAGTTTCTTCAAAGGAGGATTTCATAATGCACAGGAGCACATAAGAAACAACTATTTTCACACTGTAAAAGCAGCTGCATCTTTTCTCGGCTTAAGCAACTGCTTCAGAAATGGTTCCCAATTGTTTCCACATGTGTGTTCACATAAGCCCATTTTGCTTCTTATAAAAATTAGGAAAGAGGTGTTTTGCACAGATCCTCACACATTCCAAATTACTTTTTTTTTTTTTTTGAAGGATTTGGTTTTTGGTAACTGAAGATTCAGATCCATGTTAAGTCAGAGTTTATATTTCCCTTTTCCTTTTTTCAGGAAATCAGAGCAGCCTGTATTTGTTCAGCTCATATGGCAGCATTAAAATCAATGTATGGCATTTTATTGGTTTCCCTCCACTGAAGGAAGGCTATCCTTTGATGACTGTGCATGGGAGGTAGATTTTTGAGAAGCCAGCAGCTGCAAGGGAAAAAGGGGAAATTACTGAAATTCTCCTTCTTGATCTCTAATGGAAGCCTTCCCTCAGCGAAGGAAAACAGTGGGTTTCACTCTTCACAGAGCGCAGGTTGAAAACATCCTGTCTAAATCAAGCCTTACTGAGGAAACCAAAAACAGTAAAGAGGATTAGAATTACCACTTTCTCATTTGCTTTAAAAATAATGCAACGGCAGATATCCCACTGGTGAAATGGAATGATACTAAGAGTGTGAGAGGATTAATAATAGTGTCTCATTTTAGCTGCAGTGAAAATCTTCACATATTTAAAATAGTTCTTTTAAAAAAATGCACTTCCAAGTAATATCTGAGAAGAAAGTACAGTTAATTTTTTGTGGATAGGGGGAGGGGAGAAGGGGGCTTTCAAGTATAGTATATGTGTTTATAAGGGAAAGTGCTAGCCAAAAAATGTTTTTCCTCAGCATGCACTAATTTTTAAAATGATACGTTTGGGGGAAATTATAAATAGGTTAACAGCTTAGTCTTAATTGTCAGACACTAATTTTGAAAATAACATTTTATTCCTTGTTTGTATTCCTTTTCTAGAAGCTCAATTATCCAATATTAAGGGAAGTTAAAAGCAGATTATCTACCATAAATTCTTACTTTTTTCTTCTTTTCTCATCTAATTATATTTTTTTCAGAGTCTTTAGACAGAAAGCATAGTTTTTAATTTGATATGGTCATTATTTCAAAGGAAAAATTAAATAGCATGCTGTATTCAGTACAGGTGATTTTCAATTTACAACCAATTTCTAAAAGTTATAACAGCTTCAAAAGGATGTTTTATGGCTCATAAAGTACTTGGATCTGTTGTATAATGTCATACTGCCACCCTGACCCCACCCTGCAGTGCTATGTCTGCATTTCGAATCAGTGGCAAACTGTTTGCATTCATGAACAGGAGCTAAGTGCCCCACAGTCATGTGATTACATTTGCAATCTTCTCTGCAGGCTTCCCCAGAAAGTAAGTTGGGAAGCCAGCAGGAAATGTTGCAAGCACAGGGGACAGAGGGGTGCTGAAATCCTTTGTGGGGATTTAGGAAGGGAAGTGAATCCTGAAGATTTCAGCTCCCTTCCTGAACCACCAGACAGGAGTTCCCCTCCATGCACAGAGAGAAAGATAAATTCTTTGTACAGCTCCAGGGATAGAACTGAAATCTTTAGATTTCAGATCCATTCCTGCAGCTCCATGAAGGATTTTATCTCTGTTCAGTGATGGGAATAGAACCTCTTAGTGGGGCTGCAGGAATGGATCTGAAATCCTAAAGATTCCGGTCCACCAAAGTTTTTCCTTCCCTGCTCATAGGGAAATAGAATTTTTTTTGGTGGAGCATTTGAGAGAGAAAAGGCTGCCGAGAGGATTTCAGTTCTGTGGAAATGAAATTTCTTAGTAGGCAGCTCTTTTTGCTTCATCAATTTAACAATCCAGGAGTTTGCCTAATGACCACAACCGTAAATGCCAGGTTTGGGGTCATTGAATGAAGCAGTCACATGGGTGTCTTGCTTAACAATCATTTCACTCAGTAATTGAGATTCCACTCAATTGTTATCTTGTAATCAAGAATTACCTGTAGTCATTTCAATTTTTCATCTATTTGCTCCTGCACAATCCAGACAATCTGCTCACATATTAAAGAAATTAGACTTAATTTTTAATGGTAAACTATAAAAGCAACACCTTAACTAGCTCAGAGCACAGTATTGGACAAAATAACCAACCTTCTCTCTCAGTTTTTACTGATTTTTTTTTACCTTTTAATAATCTCAAATATTACATTTTAAAGGATATAGAAACATAATGAAAAAGTTCAGTTAAGCAACTCTCAATTTACATTTTGTTTACTCTTTCTGTTTTCTTTTAGCAGTGCCTTTGAATTTGAACAACATTACTTCATGTTGATATGCCAAGAGAGCTTTGGCATGTCAAAGTGTTTTATGACAGCTTGAATAAAGTACCATCAAAGACCCATTTGAAATTCACAAGGTTACCTCCAATTCAGGCCCTTACTATAAGTGCAAGGAGAAGGTTCATTCTCCATCTGCTTGCCTGAAAGCATAATATAGATATTTAAACTGCTGTTCCTTTTTCCTTTGGAATGTAAATAAGAATGACTATCTATCAACGCCAGAAACTGAGCCATTATCATTATTACTAATCATATTATTGTTTGACTTAGTCAAAAATGCTATGCTGAAAATTAACATTTGCAGAATATTTGCATAATATCTATATTGCTGAGTCAAGGTTGACTCAGCCTTCCATCCTTCTGAGGTGGGTAAAATGAGGACCCAAATTGCTGGGGGCAATATGCTGACTCTGTAAACCACTTAGAGAGGGCTGTAAAGCACTGTAAAGCGGTATATAAGTCTAAGTGCTATTGCTCTATTGCTATTGCTAGCATTGCATTTTCATGTAGTTATATAAAACAGGTATGACAATTGACACCTGTAATAATTCAGATGCTACAGTTATTCATTTACCAGGGAATAAATCTTACTACACACTAAAGGGATCTCTTGCTGAGAACATACTGTATATGTAGATCTGTTGGGCATGATCATTTCATTAGTAGCATTTTGGAAATTGTTGAAACCAATGTCTAAACATTTCTCCTTAGAATTCTTCAGTGTTATTGTCATTTCCCCCTCAGTTATTTATTTTTACCAAAGCAAATCATTATTAATTTTTTTTCTCATTTCTTGCCCCCACCCCACCCCCTCTTGAAGAGGTAGTCTTTGTATTTCAACAAAAGGTGTTTTCTGGAAAACAAGAGTTCATTTCCCTTTCGGCCAGATGGAATATGCAGTTTTAGGGGATAACAAATTAAAAAACTTTTGATAATGCTAATAACATATTCACCCTTGGGAAACAGTTTTAAACCAATTGTCAGAACAAAGGCCCAATTCTTAATAATGACATTTTTTTGAACTCAGAAATACATATTCCAGAATGTGTATATACTGACTGATATGGTATAACTTTTATATAATAAAATGTGATTAGCTTTGTTTGGACTATAGTATCATTGAAAAGTAGAAATTTCAGGCAGTCCTCAATTTATGATTGTAAATAAGCCTGGAATTACAGTCAAAAGTCGTTGTGGTCATAAGCCAAGGCATTCCCAATGGGCTGCAATTTTTGCCAGAAACTGGAAGTAAACACCAGAAAATAACGAAAAATGTCACAAATCATGATCATGTGACCATGGCAGGCTGCAAATGGCATTAGGATGAGCAAGTTGCCAAGTGCACCAAATGAGATAACATGACGGGGTGGGGGAGGAACAGCTGTCATAACTTCAAGTACATGTTGTAAGTAGCTCTGTAGAGATCTGTCATAAGTTTGAACAGTCCTTAATTGACCAGTCATAAGTCAAGGAATAACTATAGTGCTTGTTAGGACCAAATATAATTTGTGTGCCCAGTTCCTAACTCAGAAAAAATGTAAGTACGGTTTGAACGATGCCTGGCATAGTTGCCTACACTGGGAAAGCGGGGGGGGGGGGGGAGAAACCGAGGTCTTATTTATTAATCTGTCTTCTATTTGACCACCCTGTAAAATTGTTTGCTGGCCATAAACAAAAGCAAATCTGGGTTTTTCTGAAAAAATAACTTGATTCCTTATATACCAAATGTTTTCTAATGCAATCACGCTGCTTCCTCCTTGTGTACCTACGAGAGATCCAGATGACAAAGAAATTCCATTTATAAAATGTATTTATATTGCATTTATTGTGTGTGTGTGTGTGTGTGTGTGTGTGTGTTCTGAAAATATAATTAGAAAATCTGTTAAGGAAGAAAAATCAGAATGTCTTTACAATGTTTGATTGTTTCAGCTAGGATTCCCTCATGTGGAAGCAGACTTGGTTTAACAAAAGCTTCCCAGTTCTAGGGAATATTTTACATAATTAAATCTCGGGGTTGGATGCAACATAAATGGTTTGCTTCATCACAGTCATGCTTTCTTACATCATTACAGTTAAATTTCCAGGCACCAAAACCTACATTGACCCTGAAACCTACGAGGATCCCAATAGAGCAGTCCATCAATTCGCCAAGGAGTTAGATGCTTCCTGTATTAAAATAGAGCGTGTGATTGGTGCAGGTAAGGTGACTGGCTTTATATACGATTCTTGTGTCTAGGCAAATCAAAGCTCATATTTCATGATGACAAGCAAATAATTATATTTACTTACGTAGCTTTTGGCTTACATCAGGGTAATTAAAGGCAATGGATTGCTCATATATGTAAACCAAATATGTAAACAGTCTGGTGGTCCCAAATATTTGTTTTTATTTAGGAAAAAATAAATACCATTGCATATTATAATTCAAATAATTTGTTTTGGCTTACACATTGTTAAAAGAAAAAAATACATTTGAGTTAAAATGCAGATTCCTTATACACTTCACCAAATGCTTTCATTAAATTACAAATGGAATCTATGTGCCTATAAAAGATATTTCCATGAAGTTAGATCAGATTTGTCCAACTAGGAATTGGCTTATAGAGCCAACTTTTCTTCAGGGAATATTTTTGGTGCCATTCCTAACATTTCATTGCTACAAGAAGTTCTTGTCTTGGCTCTTATGAGTGATTGTAATTGTACTATCATTACATTGCTTTCCTTCCTTTTTCCACATACTTAGGCAATGGTGTTCCGTGCTCTGAAAACCTGTTTCCATTTGTTTGCATTAATAAGAGATGTGACACTTTCATTACACTAGTTCATGTAGTGAAATTAAGTATCCATGGGCAAGAAAGATGTCAAATACCTAAGACTCCTGGAGGAAACATTCTTTGATTTCCTGTTGTTTTATGTTATATCTTTAAAGACCTTTTTTTTAAAGATCGCCATTACAGAAGTGTGACAAGCACTATAATGTATACATCATTTTTAAAGGAGGAAATGTTTTTGTTAAAAAGAATATCTGAAAGACAAACAAATCTTATGAATATTTACATAGAAGTAATTTCCAGTCACTTCCATTATTTATATTTTTAATTTATTCCTAAATCAATGATTGTATGAATGCAGTCACAGGAATCATATGGCCTTCAATTAAAATTATATTCCAGTATATATTCTGAATCAGAATCTATTTTAATGTATGATTTTTTTCAGTTGAATGTCACAAAACCTCAATAAATAGCATTTGAATAAGAATTTCTACTCTGTGAAATTCTATACTTCTACATACTTCTACATATACTTATATGTATAATATAAGTATATTTATACATACTTAGACACTATACTTATACATACTTAGCCATAAGTATTTTCATTTCAAAAAATAGGTAATTGACCATAGGAATTAGATCCTCTACGCAAACTGTAGATGGTTCTCTATTGAATGACTACTGCTGGGAAAACTGGATTCCTGAGAAGAATTGATTTTTTCCACCCTTGGCATATAAACAGGCCAGCTTTTCAGAATCACCAAATGCACATATACTGTAGAGAGTTACAGAGATTTGGAGACACTAGACAGAGACTCTGGTTGAGTAAACATGCGTTAAGCTCAGGAAACAGAAATCTTGAGAAAGAAGCTCAAAGTGACTCCCTCTAATTGACTGGGATAAAAGAGAAAGGAAGTAAAGAAGAGAAAACTCCACCAGACATTCAGGATTCTGTTACTGTAACCTACCTACAGTATATCTGTAAAGTATAATTTCAGTCAGATTTGTGGAATCTGTTTCCTGACCTGGCCTACCTCAAAGGACTGACACACAAATAAATATCTCCTTTTTGTCCGGGGTTGCAAATTAAAAAGTGCCAGACACTGTAACATAAGTATTTAAACTGAGCTTCTTTATATCTTAATTCAGAAGTCATAATTTACCAAAGAATATGAAGAGGGAAATGTTCCAGATACCCTAGACTGATAATGAAGAATGGCTACCCACGTCACTCATAAAATATAAAAGTAGAGAACTTCTCTATGACAAATGGCATTGAAATTTCTGCACTTTCCACTGTTATTCCAGTGCAATTGTCCATGGAATAAAAGCTCTTAGTCTTTCGGTGGTTGATGTGCATGTTTCATTTTGATGACTGCACTGTAATTTTCTGCTGACAAGTTTATGGTAGACAGCAGTGCCTATGTTTAATAGGCAATCTCTTCTTCTGTTTATGGCATATGTTTTTAGTAATTTTTGGATTGCTGAACACTAAGCTGAACTATTGAACACTGAGAGCCTGATCTTACGGAACTAAATATTTTTGTATGCCTTTCTTTTGGTGGACTTTTCTAATTAAGGATAATGTTTCAAAATACTTGCTTATTTGGGTTTGAGAAAAGACTGAAATTAAATCGTAGCAAGACCAAGTTGTTGCTGATTTTGTCTTAGCCTCTATGCTAATTCTAGAGGGAGTTGCAGTCTCCCTGATGAAACAGCTTTATAATTTGGATATCCTCCTGGACCTATGGCACCTGCTGGAACAGTATATGGACACCCAGGCTTTGACTAGTGTAGAGGGTTGAGCTATTTTTAGAAGAGGAAGCCAATATTTAAATTGTTACTACTTTGGACTGCTACATACACTTTACTTGAGGTTACTTGAATTTTGACTGAAAGGGATCCAGATAATCTAGTTCATCAAGAGTCCATTAAAACAGCTACACAAACACAGTCTCAATAACCTTCCCTAAAAAAGGAAAGTTGAACATGGATGAAAATTATCGAGTATGATGGTATAAAGCAATGGCTTCTTCAGGACAAGATGAACCAATGTCTCCTTAAGAGCTGAAGGAAAGTCCCTTTTCTCAAGGAAAACTTCACCACTACTAAAACCCATTTACACAATACACACATCACTATCCCAGCAGCCTTGGTTAGCCAAGAGGGGCAACCTAAGGAGCAGTTTAGCCAAACTCATAGTCAAGGCTGAATCATACATGTCCATTTCCTCAGGCGCAACAGGTTCAAACTATTCTTGGATTAATAGGGCAAGACTGTGTCCCAGGAATCTCAACAGGTCCTGCACCAAAGTTGCCCCTGCAACTAAGGGGGAACAAAATTTAATTGAATTCATGCTTTAAAAGAAGATTTTAAGATTGATAATTTTTAAAGGTTGGAGGGTTTTTCTTAATTTCCTGTTTTCTATTGCAATTGTTGTTCCTTTATGACTTTTTGCTTGCTGCCCAGAATCTCTGGAGAAGGAGAGCATGACTGAAGGAATATTTAATTTTTTTTAAGGTGTTGAACTTTGCTTGGATTAGCTTTTGTTCTCTTACTGATTTGATTTTCATTTTCCAATAAATGCAGACATTGCGCCTTGTTTCTTATTGGTGTGAACTAAAATGATTCTGTTGCAAATAAATGTTTCTTTATATTCAGGAGAGTTTGGCGAAGTATGCAGCGGTCGTCTAAAGCTTCCAGGCAAAAGAGATGTTGCAGTGGCCATTAAAACCTTAAAAGTGGGCTATACTGAAAAACAAAGAAGGGATTTTCTTTGTGAGGCAAGCATCATGGGACAGTTTGACCACCCTAATGTGGTTCACTTGGAAGGAGTTGTTACCAGAGGTAAGTTGCAATCAGTTCTGATTTTTGAACAACTTTCCAAATTCTACCTCATTGTTATAAAGTTTTCATAGTACGTGGTTCAAATCAGATCATTGTACTACATAAAGTAAAGGACTTTTTTGTTCTCTTTTGATGTGTGGTTTAACTAAAGTAATATTAAATGTATCCTACAGCTTGAGGGAAAAAACTTAAAATATTTTTGCAAGAAGAAGAGATGGCAACACTTTGTAACATTTTTTTTTCCTAGTCACATTTAACATTAAATAAAATTCTCAATGTCTTTTCTTATTAAATGAAGTGTCGTTTTTCCAGAGTTCAGTTCACACAGCAGGAGACAGAAGAACACACTGACATTTTGATTTGTATGGTTTAATTTTTTGAGTCATGATCATTTTCTGTACGGAGACATTTAAGGACTTAGTAGATCACAGGAACTATTTTGGAAACATTAGGAGCAGTCATGCCTCATTATTCATCTTTCAAAGAAACAACATGTTTTATCAAAATGGGGACATTCTGTTCAGATATAATTTCTTTAAACCAAATATGCCTCCCTTTTTCTATTTCTTCCTTTTAGGAAAACCAGTAATGATTGTAATAGAATACATGGAGAATGGAGCACTGGATGCATTTCTCAGGGTGAGTGCCTGAGGGAAACATATATAGCACTTCAAAAATAATATATATATGCTAACAATTTAACATAATAAAACATTTTCAATGTAAAACGAGAACACACTAAATTTTAAGAGATCTCTGAATGGTCTTGGTAAAATCAGATTAGAAATTAGAAGACCAGACAGGATCAAACAACATTTTTGGCCATCTAAGTGATCCAACATGGCATAGATACAGTGGTTTTGATTAGCATCACAGACTAAGACCTGGAGCCATGTTGTGGGAACACAGTTATGGTTTTTCTCCATTGAAGAAAAGACAGTCTTTAAATTAATGCAAAAATAATTCAAAAATCAAGGAAGCACTTTTTTAAGATCCCTACATTAGCATTATTTTACATGAGTTTCTTGTTTGTGGCAGGCAACATATAAAACTCTTTAATGCGGCCCTTAAGAGCATTCATTCATATTAATGAATATGAATAAGATTAATAGCAAAATATATTTCAAGGCTTTTAAAGTACAGTGTTGATTTCACTGCCAATCTTTTCGGCAATTGGTTTTCTATCAATAATCTGCGCTTCTGATTTGTGTTTATATGCGTGCATGTGTGAATGTTCTATTTGTGTTAATAGGCTTGATTTATTGTGTCTGGGATCAGCTTGTTCTTATGATTAAAATATCCAACACCATGAAATAAAACTTGAGAAAGCAATTTTGCTCAGGTATCCTTTTGTGAATAAATATGTTTGATTTACAGATATGAGATTGTTTTTGTTTTAGCTGCAGTGTGGAAAATTGAAGGCACATATGGTTTTTGATAATTTGTGCAAATTTAAAAGTTTCTCATTTAGGATAAAAGAATTTAAAAGGATGGAATTTTCTGCCATACGTGTTTTGTTCTTTTAACAGATTCATCTAGCTATTTTTATACTCTCCTGATTTATTATTTTTATTATTAACTATGCAGGATTATACAAATGAGCATATGCATGTATAACTTTTAGTATAAATTTGTATTTTCCCCCCAAATATTAAAGGTCATAATATACAGCTTCAAACATGCTATAGCAGGGGTCCCCGGTACTGGTCCATGGGCTGTTAGGAACCGGGCCACACAGCTGGAGGTGAGCATCAGGCAAGCAAGCAAAATCAAATCCACCCACTACCCCCACTATGTGAAAAAATTGTCTTCCGTGAAATCAGTCCCTGGTGCCAAAAATTTCCGCTGTGCTATAAAATTACACATTTCTTCATTGTTTTAGAATCCTATTTCTTCATTATTTTAAACTATTAATTTCATATTTAAATAACTTAAATTAATAATTTAATTAATGATTTAAAAATTAATTAAATGATTTAAATAAACATCAGGCCCGCTTCATTTCAAAAAATGGTGCTTGCAATGTATGGAATCATATTTGTGAATTCTAGTGGTTTTGCATTTTTTAAAACATTGGAACAGCACTACGAGAATGAATGAATGAATGAATGAATGAATGAATGAATGAATGAATGAATGAATGAATATTCATCCAGATATACACGTGCACATACACATAAATATATACAAGAATTTGTGCACATACTTTCAGGATATAAAAGCACACATTTCAATCCTGAAAACACCCCTGAAATGGATTCCAACATCACTTCTTTTTTTTTTTTAAATTGAGTTTATACACGTATATAAAATAACATTTCCATTAATATCGGATGTGCAATGTTTATACATATATACAAAATATATACCTGGTGTCACTTAAGCTACTTTTTCCTTTTATTTAACACACCTTTTTCTCTTTCTTTCATTTTATCATTCATCCATTCATACCACCTAAGATCAGCTCTCAAGCCAAAGAAAGTTACGTACGCCTGTCTGAATGCCATCCTGCATTTAGTTTCTTAAAGGTAGAGATTGAACATGTTTACTTTCTCTCCTCTCAAGTACTTTAAGCAGCATCTCTGTTTCTGTCTTCATTTCAGAAACACGATGGGCAGTTCACAGTAATTCAGCTGGTTGGAATGTTGAGAGGAATTGCTGCTGGAATGAGATACTTGGCAGATATGGGATATGTACACAGGGACTTAGCAGCACGCAATATTCTGGTCAATAGCAATCTTGTTTGCAAAGTATCGGACTTTGGTCTATCCAGAGTTATAGAAGATGATCCTGAAGCTGTCTACACCACAACTGTGAGTTGTGCACTTAAAAGAAAAAAGTCCATCCAGTATACTTTCATTTTCATATACAGTAAGGCATTAGGTTGGGTTGGCTTTGGAAGAGAATGTGCCAGATATTTATTGGGAAGGGAAGTTGTGCTTAGTTGGGTTTTGTAAATTTTCTTATTTAACAAATATTCATATAAAAAACTGCATACTACAACATCATGTTATAAGTAAAACATAAACGGACTCACAAAGGATCCTCAAATGTGGCTTCATCCGATGTTTTTTCTGCGTTCCTTCTTCCTTTCTGATTATTTTTCATTTCTTGGGAACTGTTTATTCATTCAGATATTTTTGTCCTCTGGAAAATGCTTTTATCATCTTATCTACACACCAGTGGCTTTCTAACTGAAAGATCTCTTATTTCCCAATAGTTCCCATTGAGAACTACATTTAATTATCTTTCACCATTATCTTAAACTTGAACTATTAACAAGTCATCTTGTTAATAGACCAAAAGAATTGGTTGATAAATTTATCATATCATAACACTACAACTATCAATAATGATGATGTGATAAACCTCTACACAAATCCCTCACAATTGTTTAAAATAGCTTTAAGAATAAATAGCTTTAGGAAAAAAACCGATACTCTTTGGGAAGTCTTGTAATAGGGAAAGCAACAGGCCATTATTTAGAACCTTGTTTATGGAATGCATAAATTGAAACACTGGAAGGGGGAAAAGCCGTAGAACAGTGTTCTTCATAAACTACCATATAGGTCCCAAAGGGATTGCTTGTTTTCTGCTTTGTTTTGCTTTTCATTTTGGTTTTTGGAAATCTGCATTCTCTACTGCACACAACTCCAAAGTTGTTGTTGTTGTTGTTGTTGTTGTTCTTTTCATTTATAAAACAAAGCAAGTTTTGACAAGCAATAACATGGAATAGGATGAAGAGTTCGGATCCTCAATTGAGACTGGGAAGCTTTGATGCTCTTCCTCCTTAATCAATGGAAAATCTAAGACTTGAGTGGTGGGGTGGATATCAGGAACAAAAAGTAAGAGGTTAGGGCCAATAGTTCCTCAGTTTATCTACTTCTGATCTAAGTACGGGACAATGGTAATAGTGTCTAAAATGTTTGAAATACTATGTACTTACCCAACAGTCATGCTTGTGTAGATATGTGCCATCACTGACTCGTGATAGCACAGTGCAGTACTGCAGGCTAATTCTGCTGATTGCCAGCAGTTCAATCCTGACCGGCTCAAGGTTGACTCAGCCTTCCAACCTTCCAGGGTTAGGGAAATGAAGACCCAGATTGTTGGGAGCAGTATGCTGACTCTATAAACTGCTTAGAGAGGGCTGTGAAGCACTGTGAAGTGGTATATAAATCTAAGTGCTATTGCTATTGCTATGAGCTTGTTTCAGAAACTTTCTTTTCCCATAGGGTGGCAAAATTCCAGTAAGATGGACAGGTCCAGAAGCCATACAGTACCGGAAATTTACATCAGCAAGTGATGTATGGAGTTATGGAATAGTCATGTGGGAGGTGATGTCTTATGGAGAGAGGCCTTATTGGGACATGTCAAATCAAGATGTAAGTTGCCAAAATATAATTATACTGCTTATAATATGATAGAGTTGGAAAGTCAAACTTATAAGCAAAATGACCAGCATATTTTACTCCCATGAGCACATAAGAAGGTTTTAAAGTAATGGCCACATATATTTTATAAATAACTTAATTTGTAAATTGCACTGATTTTTCCTATTCTTAAAGTTAGCCTGATGCAAACTAACTAATCATACAGCCAACACAGTACTACAATTACAGTACCTAGGTGTTTTGTTTATGATTGCTTAGTTACTGGCTACAGTACATAATCATAAAGTAGCTGGCCTTCGTGTGTGCAGCAGTGCCGGAAACTGGAAGAGCTGGTCTTCCATTTTCCTGCATGATCATGTGTGCCAGCTAGCTGATCATCACGCACGCATGTGCCCCAGAAACCCAGAAGACTAACTGGTGGAAGTTCATTTTTGGATATCACATATCACGTGGTTGCACCGGAAGTTCTTTTTTGGATGTGTATATGCACCATGGGCAGCTCATCTTCCGGGTTTTGACACTACTCGGTGCCGAAAAGGTTCACCATCACTGACCTATACTTACATTTCAATATTTCCGAGCCAATAATTATATTACAAAATTCAAAGAACTATGAAATCCAAGGGCAAATTACAGTTTGACGAACATGTTAATTCAGAAGTTGATTAGTAGGATACCTGAAGCTAGTTGTGAGAACTTTTCTTAGTCATATACAGAAATATTTTTATTGTTTTAAGAGCACTTTCGATTCCCAACATAGAGAAGCAGCCAAATTCAATAAATAATACAGAAAATAAGTAAAGGAAATAATAGAACTATTTAAAAATTACAAGTGAGGAAAGGAGAAGTGAATAATCTTTCATCCCACACATTTGTGTTCTATAATTTATTGTAGCTGTCTTTCCATTATCTTCAAACAAAATAATATAATCCTCTTATAAATGGAAGAAAAAATATTCTAACATGAAATAAGATAACCTAGTACACACCTTCTTACTATCTTTAGTCATAGGGTTGAATCTGTCATATTTTTTTCTTTACAAAATAAGAAAATGAAAACATGTAGTCAACTCCACACCCTAAATCTTAGCCTCAGGCTTGTTTATGCAGGTGTAGATTAGAAGTTGTTTTTATAGGATCCAATATAGGTCTTCTAAAAGCATTTGTTGGTCCTTTTCTATGGACTCCTTGTGACTAATGTTTTTGAAGATGCTTACTCCTTATACAAAATATACTTCAATGCAGGTAAGAAAGAGTCCTTGATCTTAATAGTGCCTGACTTTACAGTCAAGATCAGGAAAATTTCTGAACTACAAAATAGTTTGGCCTTCTTTATAAATGAATTTGTAGGCTGTTGTACATATTGTTTCTTTTTTTTTAAATGATTGCTATGACATTAGCCCTTCCTACCCTGTTTTCCCCAAAATAAGCCATCCCCTGATAATAAGCCCAATCGGGCTTTTGAGCGAATGGCAATAAGGTCAAGCGCTTATTTCAGGGTTCAAAAAAATATAAGACAGGGTCTTATTTTCAGGGAAACACGGTATTTCTTTAGTGTGTTCATCTGAAGCACTTTATACTAAGGAATTTCTTATCAGCAGATAAGATGGATTTGTAGAAAGTTAACTTTTATACATAATTTTCTGGGTTTTTTAAAAAAAATCTTCTTGAATATAACAACTTACTTCCATCAGTGGAATAGATTGAATATAGGGACATTACTCTTAAAAATCCATCAAAGAATAGTCTAAAACAAACATATCAAAGCATTTCCATTCTGGGTTGAGCAGTTGGGTATTATAGATGCCAATTGGCAAAATAAGGGATAAACAGTTTAAAACTAGATAAATAGCTAGGATAACCAGACAAGTAAGAAAATTCATGCTTTCTTACCTTATTTTGAGTCAGTTGTATACAAATCTTGAGCCAGAAAATAGAATTAAAGCATTATGTAATTTGCTTAGTTTTCATACTGTGCATTGAATTGTACTGTATTTCATCTTATTTACAATATTTGAAGCTTATATAAATCTATAAAACTAAAATCAGGAATTTAATATAGAGATACCCAGGATTCCTATCACCATATTTTCAGTTAATATCCATCAAGGATTTTGGAAACTCTAGTCCAAAGAATTTGAAAGGTACTCTACTACCTACCTCTGTTATAAAAACAGGTACTGGCTGAGATGTCACTATATGAAATATTAAAAGGCCAGGTACAAGTCGCCATTTCACCAACAATCTCACACAATGATTAATTTAGTAATTTTCTTTTACTGAAACTTAATTCACATGTAGGATCACATGATAGGTAATCCAGTATATGTTGCTTTGAGCTTTTTAGAGAAAAGGTAGAATAGAAATTATGAATAGATAACAGAAAGAAATTTAAGAAATAATAAATGCACTTAAAACATTTGGGAAACTATAAATTTAGGTAAGATATTGCATTTTTTTCTTTTTTATTCTTTGGATCATGACCATCATGAAACATACTAATTAAATTCTATTTTTCTATGTAGAGAAATAAGCAGATATCAGGAATAAGTGAAATTTCTGTCTGCGAATCAGCAGTCCATTACAATATTTTTATATTCTATGAAAATACAATATATATCCTAAAATAACTTAATTTCATATTTATAAAGCAAATAATCAGTTCATTAGTGAGCACTGAACTATGACATTATGTGGTATTACTATTGATTGGCAATATGTGACTATGAGTTGCCAAGCAGGAAAAAGTGATTAAATATACAAGTATAAAAAGGAAGAGTTTTAATGACATCATACATAGTTTTCATCATTTCAGCATCAGTGTGACTAGGTATGGACACCTGTGTATCTGATAATATGAAGAGAAATTAATTGTTTAATCAATTAATTAAAATTTGTTTCACTGGAGCAAATATGTGTGTCACTATGACTCATAGTTGTAGCTGAATGCAGATTGTAATATAGAGCTTCTGAAAAATGAACAACCTGTAGAAAACATCCAGCTTCTCTCTGAGTCCATTTATATTAAGCAAGACTGAATTTTTCCCATGAGGATGGAAAACAGTTGCATATTCATTGCATAAATTTGCTGCTGAATAGCCTTCTTCTCCTGCCTGCTGTTTATCTACAGGCAGGAGTTATTATTTTTTTCTTCTATTAGGCTGGAAGCAAAACATAATGCAGGGGAGGGAAAGGGGCTGATTACATAGAAGGAGATATTTGTCAGCAAAAGTGAAGCCATTGTGGATATAATATCTGATATGACATCACATGTTGCATTAAAGCCAATGCTATTATTGCAATCTTACCATAGTTACATTATGTGAGAATCAAATCAGAGTTGCCAAATAGAGTTTCATTTCATCTAAAAAAACACTATTTGTAAATCAACACTGTTCTGTATAGATAAAGATATGGAGAGAACATAATGTTTCTCTAACAATTCTTAAGAGTGAGTGATAGAAATCAAAGGTTAGGGTAAGGTTGAATTTTATCATCATTACTTTTATATAAAATCTAAATGATGAGTCATTTTGGCAGAATGAAAGTTGTTAATATTTGACAGGTCTCAGTGTCAGAGATTTCATGGACTGTCAAAATATGGGCAAACAAGTCCTTGGGGCAGAGAAAAAGAAGTATTGACATTCCCAAGACACTCAGTAGAGTTTCATTCCTTTTGACACCTTCCTTCTGTACTAGATTCAACATAAAAGATGTTTGGCAGGAAGATAAGATAGCTGGAAGGCAAAGCTTACCTATCTTTTTTTTTTTTAAACTAAGGAAACTCAGAATCAATATTTTCTTTTGCTGAAGTTTTGCATTGAGCTTGTGCTATTTGCTTGTTCTGTAAATATCTAAATAAAGCAAAGTGTTTCCCAATTATAAAGAAAAAATAGATCGGGATTATTTTAATAAGCATATAAATAAAATATTTCCTTCTTGATGGAAAAAATGCTTCCATTATTTTAGGGAAGAATGTTGTATTTTTACACTTTATCTACTCTTTTGCAGAAGAAGAACGACTTCCATATTAGTGATTTATACTATCTTTTTAAAATCATTTTTTATTTTATTCAAAACATTAAAATGCAAACTCAAAAAAAGGAAAAAAAATACAAAACTAGGCTAAACAAGACTACACCAAAAAAAGGTACATAAGCGAAACAAACATATACATAAGTTGTCCTCTCTAGTTGAATACTGATAATTATATTTCCAAGATACAAGATCTGTGATACAAATGTATTGCTAAGTGTATAGCATGGGTTTTGAAGTTCTGGTTAGGAAGTTCAGTTTTGCTGATGATTTTGAAGGAGTTGACCAGTTTCTGTCTGGAAATTCCTTTTTGTTGTTTTTGTCTTCTGTTTTACTTTTTTCCTTCCTCTCTCAAAATTCATTTCTTGTCTTTTCATTTTTCTTCACATTCCTCATGCCACTCTTGTAATATCCTAGACCTTGGCTTACCATCCTTATTCTCTTTTCCCATACACAACTTTTATAGTAGTTCTCGACTTACAACCGGTCCTTTAATGACCATTCAAAGTTTCAAGAAATGCCAGAAAAGCTACTTACAACCTGGGTTTGAAGTTCCAATGGCCAGTACGCTGCCCGGCACATGATCACATTTTGGGCACTTGGCAACCAGCCTGCATTTATGGCCATTTGCATCATTGCTGGGTCACATGACCACGATTGATGACATTTTCCTCAGAAACCAGCATTTACTTCTGGTTTCCATCAGAAAAACCTCCCACAGCAAACCATCTGCTCAATGAATGACCACAGCATTTGCTTTACGACCACCCAAAAAAAGATAATCAAAATGGGCGTAGCCATGAGATGGCCCACTGAATGATCATCATGACTTAGAACTATCATTCCAGACTCAATTTCAGTCGCAAGTGGAGGAGTATCTTTAATTTGGTCCTCAAAGACCTTAATCTAATTATGATTCTGAAGCAGAAATGAAGTTCAGTAATGGAAATTAGATGAACATGAGAGAAACTCTTGTTCCAGGTGAAATGTTCTGCCTTCACGTCTGCTTCCCACAGGTTGCTCTCTTTTCCTATTGCAATTTCCTATTTCCTATTCCTTTTTCTGATGACATTTCAACTATATAAAGAGACTTCAGCTATTCTAATTGCTTAATGACATTCCCAACATTCAGCAATAGGGCTGTTTTGCAGGCATCGTGAAAAAAAGGACAGTACATTTAAATTCTGTCTGCCAAATGATAGTTATTGTAATATATACCGAATCCAAATGTGCTCACGTTACTTCTGCTGCAATAAAAATATGTCTCGCAAAGTCCAGAGCACAGCTGTTATATGACCCATACACTAAGTGAAACTAAAAATTCCATAGTTGACATTCCTAAAGATTTATTTCAGATCCCCCTTATGTTACAAATACACAACTTCAATTCAAGGATTGTGAGAGTGAAGTCACAACAGTGGATAGTTATTTTCAATGTAGGACTGGAGTTAATGTTTCTTTCTAATGGTTTAGCGCTCCATGTACTTTCAGCTAAATTTCCACCTATCTAAAAATGCTGGTTGGAGGGGGAGCTGTGTTATTACAGCTTCTCCTAAGATTTCCTTGTTTTAATGGGATATTGAAAAGCCAAGTCAGTGATTAAATAGTGTGTTTGTGATAAGGTATGGCATATAGATTTGGGTTACATAAATACAGCTCTTTCACCTCGGGAAATCAAATGTATATGTTTAAGCCAGCAAGATACCTTAGAATGATTACAATACCAACATTCCACAGAGCATTTTATTGGCCTACTTGGAGGCATTGCATTCAGTGGTGTTTGAAGGAAAAGGCACGATACGATGAGCATTATTTCGCTTGCAACACAGGAAACATGAAAACAATGGCTCATAAATTGTTATATGGTAATTTCTATAAAAACTTCCTCCCTCATTATTTATTGAAAGTCCTAAAGGATTATTCAGGAAGCTCAAATACATTTTTATGCAAATTATGTGTTATCAGATGCATATTGCACAGTTATAACAAAGTTGCAAACTTTTGTCAAAGTGCAAGTAAGGTTCAGTAAAGGATTATTTGATTAGCCAAGCAATAAACAAACATGAGAATGGACCTTAAATTCATTGACAGTGCTTAAATGGTGTGTTTGTAATCTGCCTATATGTATTTATCAATTTGACCACTGATAAGTGGTCAAAATAAAATAGCATATAGCTATTGTTAGAAACTTTGTTGTTCCTACCCAGTGTATTTGTACAACAAGAAGCCATTCATTTTTAATATTTATAGTGTAAATGTTTCACCACTGATATAATAATGATATTATTTCCAAAATAAAGATAAGAAAAATAGCAAGTAATCATTTGCGAAGGAGAAAGTTGGATTGTTTGGTTATTGTTTTTGCCATGTAGCCATTGTGCCACGAAGCCCTCTTTATTTCTAGCTATGATTTATTTACATCAAGTTTCCCACTTAAAATATTGGGTTTAATATTTTAAAATATTAAAATAATGGGTTTGCCCGTAGACTTCTGCAAAAATTTGTAGAACAAAATGTTTTTGTCTTATCAGTGGAATGCTGTTTTGCCCATTCTATTGGTATTTTTTTATGAAACTACATTTTAGCTTTTCAGTGCTGTGTGAGCTTAACGAAAGTTTCTTGTGATCCTCTTCTCTGGTTTTGCTTTGGTTATTTTCTTTTTCTTACTTCAACATCAATAAATCAATGCTGCAAAAATAATAATGGCTTAACTGATCCTTGAGCTACTATGTTGGCCTACACTATATTTTGATACTAAACAGTTACTCAAACATTCTATAGTCAATCTTTGATTAGAGTCACATCCAGTTTGGACTGCTGTTGAGAGCAGCATCTTTGGAAAGCATTTTCTTTTCTTTTCTATTATACACTAATTTTCATTCATTCATTTCATTTTCATCTAGATATAGATACCTAGGTGTATACACAGACTGTTTAATCATGCTTTGTTTCCCTGCCAAAAAGAGCCTCTTGGACAAATAAATAGCCTCTTGTTTTCAAAGAGTATCTCATGTATCAGTTTCTCAGTTGCACCCATGGTGAATTTAATTGCTATTCCCTCCTGCTGATTTGACTAGGTAATGCAGCTATGTTCTCGGCATACATTACCAAATACTATAATCTGTTTAATAGGCACGGACAATAAAAACAAGTTTACAATATTATACAACAACAGAAAGTGTTGTGCTAGAACAGTAGGTTCTATTTGAAAGATACGTTTCATAAAACTTTGCTTAATTTGGTGGATTCTTCATGAGCTGTAAAAATTTAAACTCATGGCAGGTTTTGTTATTAGGTTATAAAAGCAATTGAAGAAGGATATCGTTTGCCAGCACCCATGGACTGCCCAGCAGGCCTTCACCAGCTGATGCTAGACTGCTGGCAGAAAGAGCGTGCAGAAAGGCCAAAGTTTGAACAGATTGTGGGCATTCTGGATAAAATGATTCGGAACCCAAATAGCTTGAAGACTCCTTTAGGAACCTGTAGTAGGTAAGTTATGGATTAGATTCCTAAATTGTAGGCTAAAATTCTAGACAGCATTTCTTTGTTTCAGCTGTTGTTGGCCCATGATTTATTTATTTTATTTCAATTTTTTTTATCCCACCATTATTATTTGGGATAAGTTCAATCATTCCATATTTGAGATGCTTTTACAAGGGTAAACTAGGTATTAAATATAGGTTATATTGGTAGTACAATATATTGATGTTTTTTATCATAAGCCAAGAGAAAATGACAGCTTTATCTGACCAGATTCCATTTTGAAAAAAAAGATAACCATTTGGAAGTATTTTTTTTTTTTAGAATTTGCCTTTCTCACTCCAATTAGTTGTTGATTTGCTTAATTAACTTCATACTGGATTATGTCAAGATATCTTTATAGACTGCCATTGAAACAGTATAAATACTTGATATAAAATTGTGGCCATTTGCCTTCTGGGCAGAATTAGAAGATCAGAATATGCTGCTATTTGAAATACTAAAGGACAGAAGAGTATGTCTACAGAAGCACTATAATTGGATGTAACAGTGGTAATTTGATTATTTTAACAAAAGTTTGTGGAATTTTATTTAAAATAATTATATTAAACATATTAGATTTGACATACCTATTTGATGTTTGTATCATTCTTTTTTTCAAAACATAGAAAGCACTATTAGATATAATTTTCTGTGCAAAAAGAGGTTGAGATTGTATAAAGTGCCAGAATGCCTTATAAATTGTCTTATGTAAAATTAATTTGTCCAATTAATCTTGTTTTGCTATAAAGAACCAATTCTGTGATGTCTGCGTAGAACCACAAAGGTCTTCTCAGTTGTGGCACCCAAATTATTTTTTAAAATGGTACATGTTAATTCCCATTAATTGCCCCAGCTTCTGCCCACCTAGCAGTTTGAAAGCATGCAAACACAAGATTAATAAACTTTGATGGGAAAATAACAGCATTCCATGAGCCTCTGGCATTGCTGTGAGCCATGCTGGCTACAACACCACCGAAATTGTCTTTAGACAATACTGGCCCTCTTGGCCAAGAAACAGAGATTTATTTATTTATTTATTTTATTGAATTTCTATACCGCCCTACTCCCGAAGGACTCAGGTGCACAGCCATGAGATAAAACACATAGATATACAAAATTTAAAATCGAATAAAATGAATTAAATAAATTTGGCTGAATTAATACCCATAATTTAAGATACCCATATTTTAAAATACATTAAAAATTTAGAATTTACACTTAAAAGGGAGAAGATTTAGGCGAGGCCAGCTTGATGAAATAAAAGCGTCTTCAACTCGCGGCGGAAGGTGCGATGAGAGATGAGTTAGACACAACTGACAAGGAAACCTTTACCTTTATCTCTTTTTTTATTGACTTTCACTGCCATCCTTTAGACAATTTAGTGGCATTTTTGCTTGCTGAATGATATTTTTAATTGATGCTTTTTTTGCTATTCTATTATTTCATGTATGATTTTAAAATGTAATAGTTTAACATAGTTCAGTAAAGTTAATACTATATGCTCCCATTGTAAAAAAAAAGGCCAACAGTATGTTAGGAGGATAAGAAAAAAAAATACAGATGCCAATCACATAATGCCATTATATAAATCAGTGGTGCAATTGCAGCTGAAATATTTATTGTTTCTCTATATCAGAAATAACATATAGAACTATAGAAATCTCAGAAGACAGCAACTAAGCTGATCAAGGGAGTTGCAGCGACTTCCTTATGAGGAAAGGTTGTAACATTTGGGGCTTTTTAGTCTAAAAAGGAAACAAATGAGAGGGGAAGTTTGTGGTGTTTGAGGTGCATTATGCATTATTATTCATAATGTGGACAAGGAGAAGTGGAAAAGGAAAAGCTATTCCTATCTTCAGAAAATTCTAGGATCTAGGTAACTAATGAAATTGAATCCTGGAAGAATCAGGGCAGACAAAATTTATTATTATTTTTACACAACACATAATTGAACTTTGAAATCTGCTACAATGAAATTTGGTGCTGGCTACCAGTTGGCTGGCTTCAGAAAAGACTTAGACCAGTTTTGTTTTATTTACAAAATGTATAGACTGCCCATCTTATCTCAAGGTAACTCTGGGCGGCTTGGAAATCATGGAGCTTCATGGGTGAGTGCAAGTACCCTCCACTCAAGTGAGTGGAGCTTCGTGTGCAAGTGCAAGCGCCCTCCACTCCCACAAGGGGAGCTTTATGTGCGTGCACTTGTCCATCTCTCCCATGGCCTGCTTTCAAACAGGCCATGGTCCGATAGTGGGCCATGGCCCAGAGATCGGGTACTCCTGAATTATACTACCACCCACACGTTTTCCTTAGGTCTCTGCTGCATTGCTCTTATCAATCTTAAATTTAACATTAAGGGTTCAAAGCTTTCCAACTCCAAGCAGGGCAAAATGTTTCTGAATGTCATACGAACAACCCAAGATTAAGACATAGCGCAGTAGACCATTACATGTATTGTTCTTCCACTTTTCTCTAATTCTGTTGCTTAATCATGTGCGGGACTGACCATATGACAGAAACCTCTTGCAAATGTTTTCTCACCCGCAGGAATCTTCTATCTTCCAAGAATGCAGTTAGAGTTACGTGGTCAGCCCAGAGTCAATTGGAGTCAGACAGTGTCTAGCTTGAAATAAACAGATAAATAAATCAAATTCCTCCAAGGCACATTCGCTATCAAGACTGTGACACTTGCAAACTCGAAAAACCAGAACCATTTGGATTTCTGGAAATATCTTTATTGCTAGTAAGGTAGTATAACAGAATATTGAAAGCCTATCAAGGCTGTTCTACAGTTCAACGTATACCTAGCATAATTAAAGCAATGTTACTCTCAGTCCCTTTCTCACAATTCTCCCTAACTACTCCTGACTCAGGAATCTTTCCTGTAAAAGCCCTGTTTTCTCCTCTAATAGCTGTGCACCAGTCTCCACATTCCCAAGGTCTATTAGATGCTTCATAGCACTAGCCCAAGATCATGTCTTGTCAATAATAAAAAAAGAGTCTTCTTTCTCTCAGCGAAGCTACATTGGTGCCTATTACTGGTGCTATTGAGCCAGTGGGGCTTGTGCTGATCAGTCCTGCACTAGACTGAATGCCAGACAAGCAGGAAACAATTAGCATATTTCCAATGGCTTTATTAGCTTGGTTGTAAATCAGCTAACAGATGCTAGGACAGCGCAGTTGTAAATTAGGCAGATAATGATCTGAAGAGAATCTCTCACCTATAAAAAAAAAAAAAAAGAGCAGGTCTGTTGTAGAATGATAGTCTAGAGCTGCTGATATCCACAGTATCTTGTCCAAGGATCATAAATCAAAAACATATCCATAAGGCAGAGGTGAAATCCACCAGGTTCTAACAGGTTCTGGAGAACTGGTAATGGAAATTTTGAGTAGTTTGGAGAACCGGCAAATGCCACCTCTGGCTGGCCCCAGAGTGGGGTGGGAATGGAGATTTTGCAATATCCTTCCCCCTGGAGTGAGTTGGGAATGGATATTTTGCAATATCCTTCCCTTGAAGTGGGGTGAGAATGGATATTTTGCAATATCCTTCCCCTGGAGTGGGGTGGGAATGAAGATTTTGCAATATCCTTTCCCTGCCATGCCCACTGAGCCATGCCCACAGAACCGGTAGGGAAAAAATTTGGATTTCACCCCTGCCATAAGGTACAAGTCTCCTATCTAGATGTTTTCACAGTCCTCCAGGATGAGGTAGAGAAGGTTACGATGGTTTCTTAGAAACCATGTTCCAAATAGAACATCACACAGAAAAAGAGAAAATTAATTCCCTGAACTCCATCATGACTTCCTCTTGCATCCAAACTAGTGAAGCTTGACTTTTCTTCAATAATACACACAAGCACACACGTATACACAAAGAGGCATTTATTGGACATATCATTTTCATTGATGATCATTGATTATTGCTTAATACTTCTTTTGTATCCCTTTTCAAAGTCTCAGCAAGAAAAGGATTCTACCACTAGTGAAGCAGTTATATTTGCACTTTCTACCTAAATAGATATCAGAAATATGCATTATCCCCATGACTGTATTAGATTAGATACAGGTGAAACTCGAAAAATTAGAATATCGTGCAAAAGTTCATTTATTTCAGTAATGCAACTTAAAAGGTGAAACTAATATATGAGATAGACTCATTACATGCAAAGCGAGATAGTTCAAGCCTTGATTTGTCATAATTTTGATGATTATGGCTTACAGCTCATGAAAACCCCAAATTCACAATCTCAGAAAATTAGAATATTGTGAAAAAGTTCAATATTCTAGGCTCAAAGTGTCCCACTCTAATCAGCTAATTAAGCCATAACACCTGCAAAGGGTTCCTGAGCCTTTAAATGGTCTCTCAGTCTGGTTCAGTAGGAATCACAATCATGAGAAAGACTGCTGACCTGACAGTTGTGCAGAAAACCATCATTGACACCCTCCATAAGGAGGGAAAGCCTCAAAAGGTAATTGCAAAAGAAGTTGGATGTTCCCAAAGTGCTGTATTAAAGCACATTAATAGAAAGTTATGTGGAAGGGAAAAGTGTGGAAGAAAAAGGTGCACAAGCAGCAGGGATGACCTGCTGGAGAGGATTGTCAGGAAAAGGCCATTCAAAAGTGTTGGGGATCTTCACAAGGAGTGGACTGAGGCTGGAGTCAGTGCATCAAGAGCCACCACACACAGACAGATCCTGGACATGGGCTTCAAATGTCGTATTCCTCTTGTCATGCCGCTCCTGAACAACAAACAACGTCAGAAGCATCTTACCTGGGCTAAAGACAAAAACAACTGGTCTGTTACTCAATGGTCCAAAGTCCTCTTTTCTGATGAGAGCAACTTTTGCATCTCATTTGGAAACCAAGGACCCAGAGTCTGGAGGAAGAATGGAGAGGCACACACTGCAAGATGCTTGAAGTCCAGTGTGAAGTTTCCACAGTCTGTGTTGATTTGGGGAGCCATGTCATCTGTTGATATTAGTCCACTGTGCTTCATTAAGTCCAGGGTCAACGTAGCTGTCTACCAGGAGATTTTGGAGCACTTCATGCTTCTTTCCATAGACAAGCTTTATGGGGATGCTGACTTCATTTTCCAGCAGGACTTGGCACCTGCCCACACTGCCAAAAGTACCAAAACCTGGTTCAATGACCATGGGATTACTGTGCTTGATTGGCCAGCAAACTCACCTGACCTGAACCCTATAGAGAATCTATGAGGCATTGCCAAGAGAAAGATGAGAGACATGAGACCAAACAATCCAGAAGAGCTGAAGGCCGCTATTGAAGCATCCTGGTCTTCCATAACACCTCAGCAGTGCCACAGGCTGATAGCATCCATGCCATGCCGCATTGAGGCAGTAATTGATGCAAAAGGGGCCCAAACCAAGTACTGAGTACATATGCATGCTTATACTTTTCAGAGGTCCGATATTGTTCTATGTACAATCCTTGTTTTATTGATTTCATGTAACATTCTAATTTTCTGAGATTGTGAATTTGGGGTTTTCATGAGCTGTAAGCCATAATCATCAAAATTATGACAAATCAAGGCTTTAACTATCTCGCTTTGCATGTAATGAGTCTATCTCATATATTAGTTTCACCTTTTAAGTTGCATTACTGAAATAAATGAACTTTTGCACGATATTTTAATTTTTTGAGTTTCACTTGTATAGTCACCTATTTTAAATAAAAGTTTCATCTTATATCGACAAGTGTAAAATTAAGCCCAGTCTTCAAGGAGAACACATACTGTAGTATACGTTTTCAAATAAATTTCTTTTTCTTCTTCTTCTTTACTTTCTCTTTTACCATTTCGGGTGTCGAGGGATGAGATAAGAAGCAATTATATTTACTTTATTTTACAAGTATTCTATTTTTCATTATTGAAAACAAAGAAGATTTTACTTTGTTCTAAATATTGAAACATCTAAAACTTTTAGATGACTTATATGATTGTAACTCAGTGGTAGATTCAGATAAAATCCTTTATTACTGTTGATGACCAGATGTAGCTACAATTTAGTAACAATTTTACAGGATGAAAGATAGATAAAGATAGCTGGGCAATTTACACAAAAACAAGGAGAAAGGGGAGGAAAGGAGAAAACAGCAGGTAAGCACTGGAGTACCAGACTATGTCTAGAGTATTAATAGTCTACTAGAATGTTACACAGCAATATAGGTTTGTACATGCTTAACAAGCATTTCTTGGCCTTTTGCTTTATATTATATTAATTTTAGTTTGATTATATTTCTACTAGGTAACAAATACTGAATTATGTTTCTTTTTACCTGAAACAATATTTTTCATTCAACCTAGACCAATCAGCCCTCTTCTGGATCAGAACACCCCTGATTTCACAACATTTTGCTCTGTAGGGGAATGGTTGCAAGCAATCAAGATGGAAAGATACAAGGATAATTTTTCTGCTGCAGGTTACAATAACCTTGAGACAGTAGCCAGGATGACTATTGAGTAAGTAAACTATATGCTTATATTACCTATTTCTGCTTATCTTTATCTCGTTTTATTGGCAGAGGAGAAATATTTGGCCAGGTTATATAAAGTTTATGTATTAAAAATCCCCAAGATTTAGTCACCTAATTAACACCTTACTCAGCCTTCTCTTAAAGGGGGGGAATACCACTTGCTAATATTTATTTTAACTATTATAAAAGAGAGTTTGATTTTGCAGGTAGCAAAAACTATTGTGGTATGGGGAAGTTGCTTCTTGCTAGTTAAGGACTTCAATATGGTTAAAGACAGTATTGACCAAAAGTAGCCCCTTCTAAGCATCAACTAGATTTTTATGACCCTTTCTTGGTTTTTTATGCAAACAAGTGCTTCATATTGAGACATTTTCAACGACCTTATGTGACAACCACACAAGGAGTAAAGAAAGTTGTGCTTCAGAGCAACGTGACTTGAGAACGTTAAATATCTCCGTGTTCTACTCTGTATGACAGAATGTCAGGGAGAGTTTTAAGTCTAAATAAAAGTTGTAAAATTTTAAAATTGTGCTGCCTCTCTCTCTCTCGCTCTTTCTCATCCTTTGAAAAAGAAAAGCAATAGCTATAGTTAATATCCTAAGAGATATCTGACCTTCACTGCAGGGGTCATGTTATCTCCTTGGAACATATACCCTTGCCAATTAATGGAAGATAATAGCAATTTTATTTTATTTTTACTCGCCATAGTCTATGTCATCAGAAAGCACTGTGCATATATACCTGGCTTTTCAAGTGATTACTTCATCCTATAACAATATGGTGAAGTAATCACCTGAAAAGCCAGACATGCCGATAATGCATTGAATATCATTTGGTTGTATCAGTATTGCTGTTTCTTTTCTGTTCCGCTCTACTGAAAGATTACTAATATTGAATTTTCCTCCCTCCCCATAGTGACATAATGAGCTTAGGAATCACATTGGTTGGCCATCAAAAGAAAATCATGAGCAGCATTCAGACTATGAGAGCACAAATGTTACATTTGCATGGCACTGGCATCCAAGTGTGATGAGACATTTCTCCCTTCCAAGGGAGGGGACAGACTTGAGAGAACAGTGCCAGCCTTCAGTCTTCATGAAGTGCTGCTGGAAGACACGCGATTTGACAGAGCCTTCATGCAGGTGACAGAAGGCCCACCAGAAGCACCTACAGACTTGAACTCCTAAGTGCCACCAGAAAGTTACTTAAAAAGGGAAAACAGATCTACTAATGGCGGCAACAAAAGAAGTGACAATAAACAAAGTACTACCTGAAACACCTACGAACACCTTGAACTCTCTAACCTCCTTTTTATCTAATTGACTTTTTAAAGTGTATATAAAGGATTTTAAAAGAAAGAATATATTTGTCAGATAAAAATCATGATATTGTTAAAGTCAACAAATATTTTCCTTAAAACTTTCATTTCAAACTTGTTTTAAGAAATCAGTTGTGTTCCTTTTTCATATAGAACTTCTTTTTAGTGTTGCATTTATATCTTTGGACCTTCTTAGTGCTAAGCATATGACACATTATTACACTGGGGAGTTTTGAAAGATTGTACAAGTTTCTATAGCCACAAGAAGTGTAACAGGGAAATGTGTATCAGGCTAGCTACTGGGTGGGTGAAGCAGGGTTGGCCAGGATTTTTTTTCTTTTTCTTTTTCTAATTTTGGCATCTATTTTTGTCTGTTTATTCCACACCACATTGATGTGGTTTGCTAATTGGCAGGAAATCAGGAAAAAAAAATCATTGCCAAGAGTTCTGATATTTTTTAAAATAATTTTGTATAAGTAAATCACACACTCTTCTTTAAACAGGAAATGAATAAAATGGTGAACCTAGCAATAATGTTCCCTAAAAATGCCTAGGCACTTTTTAAGAAATGGTTTGAAAGATGGTTTTAGTAGGTTGCCTGGGTTAAAGGAAACTGTACAACTGCAACTTTAAATGGGTTGAAGCCCTTTCATGGAATGATTGATGGTACAGTAGGTGTATAAACAGAACAAGTACAAGTACTATAGTGTTGCTTAGCCTTTTAATCAGAGCACATTGGGTGTTTGTTCTTGCAGGGGATTGGGTGTCTTTTTATTTTTATTTTTTCAACAATGTACATTAGAAGGTCTAGAGAAATAATAAGCATATGGCTAATATGAGATTAAGATGAATGTAGTCCTTCTTGCAGAAGTAAGAATGAGAGGATGCAATCCAGAGAAGAGTACACTGCATATAAATTCAGAAGAAATTGCATTCAGCTTTGTGGATACACTCTGTTTTTATCAGCTAGGGCTTATTTTCTGTCCATAGTTCTACCAATCATGCTGTTTGAAACGTAGGTAGGCAGATGACCTCACTCATAAATTGCCTTCCTTGTAATAGACAACCTGTAGTGGAAAGCAATGACGAACCCAGTCTGCAGCAATTCACATAATTCTTACCAGTATTTCTACTAATAATGTGCAAGCCAGATGTCAGGGTTCCAAATAACAACCCATATGAAATCAAAACACTGGGTTTGACAACAGGTAAACATATCTTTCTCTGGTTCACACTTTGAGACAAGCCCAGTTCAGAACGAGGAAGTCATACACATTGAAATGAATGTGATTTCAAAAACGTAATCGTGCTCTGAAGGTCCTAGGATCTCATGGGCCCCTAATCTACCCATCATTCTCTGGATTGCAATTCTCTTGTGCAAGCTCTAATGAAATGAGTGACAGATGGACAACAGATAACAGGGCTTGCACGGGACATGTTCCTGTCAGATGGTGCCTTTGGATTTTCTATTACAGGTGTAGGAATATAAGGCAAGTGGCACTTCAACATTTCATTGTGTGTATGTGTGTTTTAATGAGCTGCTCTAGGCGCATGCATTCAGAACTTCTGACTGAAAGACGATTGAGAGATGTTGAGTGAGAGAACCCTTTTTTTTAAAAAAAATACCAGTTTTAATTTAATATATGTGTACTTGAGTTGAGTGAAATATATAATTACCATAAGCAATAACAAAGTGTGTCGCAGGACTATATATGAAACAGGTGACTAATGCTGTCAAAAATATGAAAATCGTGAGCTACCCAGCAGTGAATAGCTGTACTTCCAAAGAGAACTGGGATGCTTCTATTGGTTTTCATTGAGAAAGATCCCAGGGATCAGTCATATAAATTAAGACTTGTTTGATAATGTGGGCATCCACAAAAAGAAAAGAAAAAATGAAGAAAAAAAAAAACCCTGTAAATGTTCCTTTGTAAAACTTGTACATTTTATTTATACTGTCTTGTTTTGTACACACATTTATGTGCAGTGAGCTCTGAATACATTGAAAATGCACTATATTTTTCTATTTTACTTAACAGAGCATCACAAAAAGGAACATGTTTTTCAGTGCTATATAATGTGTTTTCCCACGTTTAGGACCAAAGATAGTTACAAAGAATTCAAATAGATAATTTGCCCTTCCTCCCATTTTCTTTTTCCTTTTACAGCACTGTACAATGTTTTATTTGTTGTTTTATTTATTTATTTTGTTAGAAAAATAATTTTGATTATGCTATTTTTTTTCTTCTTTCACCCTTTGTTAAATAAATCTGTAAAAAAAGATAAACAAAAATATTTGAATTAACATAATCCCATTACATAGACACTTCCATTTGTAATCTTTGTAATAGACTGTAAATATATTTTTGGAAATATAACTGTGAATAAGGGTTATTTGTCATTGTCTGTCTATATAGCAACTGCAGCATTTTATAGCTTTCTCTAAGTGTCATAATTCCTCATTAGGTATAGGGGAAACTGATAACTTAGTATTAAACTGAGAATAGCTGTTGTGTTCTTAAATGTACAGATACAAGCATTTTGTAGATTGGTTAAATTGGTTCATTTAAAATATTACTTACATAATTGATTTCAACAGCCTATGCCTAGATGCAAGGGCACCTGAAGCACATACAGAAATAAGCCTATATTCATGATCTGTGTTGATTCCACACAGACCACATGCAAATCTATTCTCATATATGTCACGGGGGTGGGCGAGAAAGAATTTAGGTAACAGCTGCACATGGAGCAATTAGAGAGGATGCCAACTATCATGGCAGTTGCTTGCTTGGGAGCAGGAATGGGGTATATGTATGGATTCAAAGGTAGCCTTCCATTTTCTATGAATCCCCAAAAGATAATTTATACTATTGTTAACAGCTGGACCTATCATGAGTAGCATTTTCATAAGAGCAACTATTCTCATTGGTTTATTGCTCTGCCCATGGATAGGGCCTAAGGCTATAGTTCTAATCTCACTTCACTTGATTACAACAGTTCCGTGGGCTATAATTGTTTTAGCTTGTGCTATTTGCTTGCAAATTTACACCTCTAATTATCTTCCTATATCTTCCAATATAGATTCAGTAGCTAATAGTGTTTGTGTGATTGCAAAAAAGAAATGAGTGCAGTGCAGTTTGGTGAAAATGGTCATGTTTACCCAAAAAGAACAAAACTTTTTCTTTATGTTTGACTGTTATGAACATAACTGTGTTTCCTCTTTCTGATTCTAATAATTTGAATCTAATATATTCAAATAGGAATGCAATTTGGCTTTGAACCCATTCCTATCTAGAATGGGTATCCTAGAGTTGATCTGATATAGGACCTATTTCTCGTAGACAATCAACCATTACCATCAGCATGCTTATAATAATTCTCAGGACATGAAATACTTCAAGAATAATGCCTATATATTAATTTATACATTGCTCATAATTGAGACCACAATACAATTTCAATCATTAGGAGGATAAGGCAGTTATATCATGCTTTGTTTGAATTTAGGTTTTTTTTTTTTTTCTTTCCATATTACCAGCAGCTTTGGAGAAAAAGGGATTGCATAGAATTTCATACTTCTGGAGAAAGATATAAAACATGACACAGTGTGTATATAATATATCATTTTTTTTCATCTAATTAGATTCTATCCAGAACCCAGTCTCCCTCTCCCACATTCAGTCTGATCAGGGAAGATATGACAGTATGCGGCGGGGGTCACAGACCCAATGACTCACTAGGGCAGTGATGGCTAACCTTTTTGCCATCGTATGCCAAAAGCGGGGGGAGTGTGGGGTGGTCACGCATGTGCGTGCCCACACCCATAATTCTATGCACCCTGCCCCCAACATGTGTGTGTGACCCCCCCGTGGTCTCCCCGCTTTTGGCATGTGATGACATGGTGGGCCCGGTACGCCCGTTTTTCGCCCTCCCTAGGCTCCAGAAGCTTTCTAGGAGCCTGGGGAGGATGAAAATAGCCTTTTCCATCCTTGGAGGCCCTCCAGAGGCCTTCCAGAGGCCAGAAACAGCCCATTTGCCGACTTCTGAAAATCAGAAGGCCCGAAAATCAGCTGGCCAGTGTGCGCATGCATGCTAGAGCTGAGCTAGGGCAATGCTCGCGTGCCCACCAATATGGCTCCGTGTGCCACCTGTGGCACGCGTGCCATAGGTTCGCCATCACGGCACTAGGGTATTGAGCAACTCTGAACAATAGTTTGTAAGATCTGCTTATATCATATTGCTGCTGGATATAAGATGATTTAGAATCAATTCCAGAAGTCTAAAAAAAAATTCAAATTATATAAAGTTATGAGGGAAGATAATACAGAATGCCTATAAAAGCTAAGAGAAAAGCCTGCAAATCCTTCCGAAGAAAGTTTTTGCAATGCTGCTTTAAAAAAATTTTTTTTTTTTTCTGGAAAAGATGAAGCTGCTAAGAGAGGTGTTTCATCTGCATGGGAAAACAAGCCTTTGAAGGATTTTCACAGTTCTGTTGCTACATTCAACAGAAAAGTTGATAAGGTAAATATAAAATCACATTTATTACAGCCCTAAGGCCAGATGCAAACAAAATATCTAATAAAAAAGTATCATATTCTTCAATGTGTGTGTGTGGGGGTGTGCGTGCACGCGCGAGCGCATATAACAAAAATAAAACAGTATAATGGAACTAAAAATAATTAGGAGCGAAGTTGCTAAAATAAATCCAAATAAATACTATTATAAGAAGTTCCAAAATTAAGTGATGGTGTGGCATATCATACAATTGTAGCAGAAAAGTGCGGCTTGAAAGGTTATTTTTGAATCCTTGTCTGAAAGAAGTAACATTAAATAGAAATCACACTCCCTTAAATTTCTTTAAGACAGGATATGAAAGAGTGTCTTGAATCCTTATATAGGAAACAGTGTACGCATATGGCTTAGAGTTTCTACTGAACCATCTGGACATAACCAAAGGTACATTAGAAGTACCCTTAAAATGTTCAAGAAGGACTGCTGAGGGTGAAGTATTCATTATCTGGCTAAAGTGAAAATCAATTTCAAAATTGGAATACTGTAGGTGATAAATAAGAGTTGGAGCAAACCCTTTTAGAAGCAAATGATAAATATTGTGAGGTGACACTTTACTTAAGCTTGTTTGGAGACCTAAATCCCAAATTCATTGTTCTAGCATTTCCCGCTGCCCCCCGGAATTCTGTCAAAAGCTTTTTTAAGCCATGATGATTTAAAACCATCTCTAAATACTAATGAGGCCAAACCAGTGGTGGAATTAAATTTTTTTACTACCAGTTCTGTGGGCGTAGCTTGGGCATGGTGTGGCTTGGTGGGCATGGCTTGATGAGCGTGGCAGGGGAAGGATACTACAAAATCTCCATTCCCACCCCACTCCAGGGGAAGGATACTGCAAAATCTCCATTCCCACCCCACTCCAGGGGAAGGATACTGCAAAATCCCCATTCCCTCCCCACTCCTGGGGGAAGGATATTGCAAAATCTCCATTCCCACCCCACTCTGGGGCCAGCCAGAAGTGGTATTTGCATGTTCTCCAAACTGCTCAAAATTTCTGTTACCGGTTCTCCAGAACCTGTCAGAATCTGCTGAATAGCACCCCTGGGCCAAACCTATAGGAAGCAGAATTAACTTTAGCCAGAGGGTAAGAAGAAGAGACTATGCTCTAGCTTCCAATAAAATTATAAGATAAATGTTGCAGGATGTGAAAACTAAGAGTTTTGAATTTTTATTTATAGATATCTTCCCATCTATAGAAATGTTAAGACTGGCATTATTTCTCAATGGAGAACATGTTTATTTGTTGTTGTTTTTAATCTTGGCTTTGTTCCAACAAGTAGTTTTTTGTTTTAAATCAGGTCTGACCCAGTCCTTTTCGTTTCTTAAGTCAAAGAATAGCAGGGTGATTGTCTTCTGTTTGACATATGGAACACAACTCTACTAATAGTTGACTTTCATTTCTGTACCATAAATGTTGTATCTGTGGTTTTATGTGGAAAAAACTTAGTGGGCAGAAAGAACGAAGGCTTAGAACAACACAGTCAACAGATATACTGGGTGGGGGGGGGTGTTAATTTTTGTGTGTGATATTTTTCCTTGAAGCCCCAAACTGCAGTTGAGTTTTTAACTCCCCCCCCCTTTTCTCCTCCCATATCAAATTCAGTCCTGTTCTGTTTGGTTTTTAGAGAATATTATGCCATGCAACAACAGAGAATTATGAGCTCCTTTCCCTAATTTCCTTCCAGCAAATATAATAATAAACAAATATGCAACTAGAATAATGAAGCTCCATTCTTTAACATCCTGCTCAGCTAAAGGAATGCCTTAGGGCCCACTGAGTGGATATAAAAACACCTCAGCTAACTCTACTCCTTTGATCAATGGGTGCAGCTATTTTGTGGCTATTTCTACAGCAGGCTGTCAAAATTACTAATAGGTCCTGTCCTCAAAATACTGCATATTCCAGCTATATAGGTAGAAGAAGGAATGAAGGAGGACTATGCTACGGTCAAATGGAAAATTTAAAGACCCAATTTGACCAGAATCACAGGAATTTGAAACTAATTTAAGTGTAATATTTTAGGTGAGGAAGCTATATGCAATGCAAATAGTAGAGCTTAAAATGAATTTTTAAAAACAGAAGTTAAATTAAGGGGGGGAGGATTTAAGAATGAGAAAAGGAGTCCATTTACTTTGGTTAATTTACTTTGGAGAGACATTTTGTCTGACATTGACCTAATAGTGCATTCAGCTCAAATATATCAAATATATAGATGCTTGCACTTCAAAGAAGCAGTTCAAGATCAGAAGATGTGGAGAAAACTCATCCATAGAATCACCAGGAGCTGGACACTACTCAATTGATAATATCATCATCAGAGATGCTTACCCATTCCAAGAGATTTTTGCATTATGGTACGATTATGATATGTTTAAAACTTTTAAAGAAAGTGGTGGAGCTGGGAGATTGAATAAAATATTTTTTGGATTTGCCCAATTCACTGACTTGTAATCACCTGGCCAGGGACTAGCAAAATAATAATAATAACAACAAGAAGAAAGCTTAACAAACTTGCAAATATAGCAGCTGCAAGGATTGTAACTGACTTTGTTAAGTGTTCCGTGAAAATAGCTTATATATAACCGGGAATAAATGGCTTCTTCAGACAACAGTGATGAGGGAGGGAGAGAGAGAGAGAAGGAAATTACAAGTTCCCCTTTCCAACATGCAATGATATTTCTTTGGGGGTGGGGGGAATCCACCTTGATGCATGATGTTTCTGGCTCCACTTTTATTCTTGATCTAACTATGACTGCAACAGCTTCTTATAAAGGTATTTTCAATCCCTGTGGCTCTTCCATCCCATGTATATAAGAC